GCGTCGGTTCAAATCCGACGGGTGTCGACATTTCTGGATTTCTTTTTGCTTTTTTTCTCTGGCATTTTTTTCCACAGACCTGATGTTGCTTTTTCTTTTCTTTTTCCAAGGATCACGGGCATTATTGACAGCGGGCCTTGGATCAACGGATGCAGTGGTTGGAACGGCAGAAATTTTCACGAACCCGACGTCCGTCGTCTTCTTTCGAAAATGGTGCCCAGCGGTGTGCCGGGTGCAGGAGGACATGTACGATATGCCCACACCGAGGCAAAACGAGCAGCAGAAATTGAGCTCATTTAATGAGGTCGTTTATTCCAGTCTCATTTTTGTAGACAAGCTGGCCAGGGAACGATGAAGTTGCAGTACAAGGTTCTCGTCCGCGACAATGGGCGAAAGAAGCCCGCGGATGTGCGGGCGAAGTTGCTGCGAAAGATGGCAGACGGATGCCACGAGTGACTAGCCGATGTGCGGGGTATGGTTCGTTCGAGACCACGAGAGCGTGGTCCAGGAACGGGGCCAAGGCAGCTCGTGGTCTGCAAGGTACGCATCTAAATTAGCGCGATCAGGTGGTCAGAGCGAACAGCACGGGACGGTAGAGTTGTCTCGCAATGGCGAGGGGATCGCGGCAAAGGGCACGAAAAGGGTAGCAAAGTGGTGTAATCACAGACATGGACCGAGTCGGCATTTGAGCTGGGCCGGGCGGGGCAACCAGCAAAGGGCCGCGGAACATATTGCTGGCACATGTGCCCCGCGGAGAAAGCCAGCAGATCCTCAACCGCCGTCGCTGCCGCCAGAGTCGTCCAAGTGCCAGACGCGCTCGGCGGAGTGAGACGGCCGTTTTTCATTCGTCCGCCCGCTCCAACCCCGGCGGCCGGCTGTGGAGCTCCGCACGTTGTTGACTATTTTTTCGATCTCAGCCGGTGCTCCGCAGAGCTTGACTCGGCTCGCTTGTTCCATACCGAGTGAACTTCCCTGTACCTCGAGGCACCTCGTCAGGGTCCGGATCAACCAATGCCTCCGAACCGAAGCTGATCTGGCTACCCGCCGCCATGCGACACCTGCAGGAGAGAAAAAAAAATCGGGAAACCAAACCAACCGGCATGGCAGAGATGTCTGCCGGTCGCTTCGGTCGCTTTCTTTGCCGGTCTCGAAACCTTGGTGAGCCGTCCGTGTGCCATGGACGCATCTGACGGATCTTTCCTTGCCCTACCTCCTCCTCCACTGCGACGAGTGACACGCTGTGCCGATGACTCTGCTCGGTGACACACACGGCCTCACCGTCACAGTCCCCTCGTTGCCGCCCCTCGTCAAGCCGCATTCGCTGCTCCACGCGCTCCGAGGCGTGCCAAGCTTGACGCCTCAATCGCTGCGCATCTCATGCGGTCGCTACAAGCGTGCCGAACCTCGAGAGCCAACTTTGCGGAGTAAGCTCACTCAAGCCCGAGTCAGAATGGAAAGGGCACTGGTATCGACATGCACATTCTCCCTTCTGAGTGAACTGGGGACGATCAGTGGATGCAGTGCCGCCAGCTCCGCCACCCCGCACTGGCTGGCCCGACTGCACATCTGCGATAGGAACTGTCGAGGCAGAAAGGCTGCAAAGGCTGCGCGGATTTGGGTTTGCCAGCCACACAGCGGTATGGTGGCGAGCGCGGTCGGGTGGATAGCCGTAGGCTCTCGCTTCCGCCGGGCTGCTGAGCTGGATTTTGGGAGGCCGTCTTTTCCTCCGAGGCAGCTTTTTGGGAGGCGGCGGCGGCGGCGGAAGGGCCGTCTCAACCGCACGCGCTCGCCATTTTTTCGCCGACCCCACGGTTGGCAGACTCCGACAGGGCCGAACAAGCCAAGCCACGGCGAGCTCCGAGCCACTCTCCCTCTCGCTGCACCGCCAATGTCCGCCAGATTCGGCAAGGTTGCGCAGCTCGGCCCTCTCGCCCAGGCTCGTCACTGCTGCTGTGCTCCTTCTGCATGCACAAACTATGCTCGCTTCCGCGCACCTCCTGCAAGACGGTTGCTGGAAGGTCAGCGTTGTTCGGTAATCGACATTTGCGAAGGAAAAACCATTGTGACCCGCCTCTGCATATCGTCACTCTCTTTGCTGGGACCGTCCTCAAACTCAGGCACCGCGATCCGCCTCAGCATGCGCTTACAGTACTACCGTCCCGTGATGCTCATGTACCCCGCTCAAGCAGACGCTGCAGGGTATCCTTGGCTGCATCTGCACGAGCTACCCCGCACCCGCCGTGAACGCGGGGTGCCTTGCTCCGTCGTCCTGCTTCATCCTCGTCTTGACTGTGGCCACGCCACCGCGCGCACGCCGGAGCAGGTGCCCGCGGCACTTGTCGAGCCATTCGGCTGCACCGTAGCATCAAGCTCGACATGGTGACCCTCATCCAACCTCTGCTGCCGCGCCGTTGGTAAGCTCCATTCTGCCCCACATCGCCTGCGTTCCCACGAGATGAGCATCCCGCCTGTCCCACCTGCCTCTGTCCACCAAAAAAGGCAACCGACCTGCAAAAGGATACTTGGCACAGCTCGCTCCTCAGCGCATTGCTGCCACGCATGCTTGCCTGCCCCCTTCCCCTTGGCTTCCCCTCGTGCACTTTGGTCCAAAGGTATGTCCACGCAGACATATAAGACGGGGCTCATCCGACCTGACCAACAGTATTGCCCCGTCTTCCCCTCCGCTCCTCCAGTTGTGACCAGGTCGAGCTCTCCCTCCCCGCCCATCCACACTACCTCCATACTCCGTCCTTCGGCACCACGCCATCAGTCTACAGCCATGTCGCAGCCAGCTCAGACGCCAAGCTACATCCCCGCCGAACAGCTTCAGCACGATGTGAGCGACAAGGACGCCGGCAGCAACTCGAGCCACCACTTCCAGCGTGCACACCGCAAGAATGGCGAGCTCGAGCTCGGTGTCACCGAGATCCTCGAGGGCCGCACCGACGTCCAGCGCCAGGTCGCGCATTCGTCCGGTCTCGCCGACTGGTCCGGTCGAGTCAAGCTTGAGCAGGCGATGCCCAAGCTCATCCCCGCGCTCATCGCCGAGTTCTTTGGCGTGCTTTTCTACTCGCTCGCCGGAGAGATGGCCACGGCCGGTTTCCTCATCACCACCTACGCAGGCACACCCATGGGCAACCTCACCATGATCGGTTTCGCCTATGCGTTTGGTATTACGTTTGCTATCGTCGTCTGCGCTACCACCTCCGGTGGCCAGTTCCACCCCGGTTTCACCATCGCCCAGGTCGTCTTCAAGGGATTCCCCATCAAGCTCGCCCCGCTCTACATCGCCGCCCAGATCCTCGGTGGTATGGCTGCTTCGCTCATCGTCATGGGCTCGTGGCATGACGAGCTCATGAAGATTACCCACCTCCTCGAGGCCACTGGCAAGGCGGCTACCATCTTCACTGCCGAGGGTCCCGCAGGTGCCATCGCGCTCTTCCCCACCCCCGGCAGGTCGATGGGCTCCATCTTTGTCAACGAGTTCTTCGCCGATGTGCTCGTCGCCATGCTGGTTTGGGCCAACCTCGACGCCTCGAACCCCTTCACTGGTCCTCAAGTCGCTCCGTACACCATCGGTCTTGGATTCGCCATGGTGGTTTGGTGCTTCTCGTCGTCCAACGTTGCTGCGAACACAGCGCGTGACCTGGGTGCGCGCTTTGTGTGCGGCATGTTCTGGGGCGACCAGTGCTTCCCCGCTGGTTACTCGGCGCTGGCTGCTCTGACCAACATCCCTGCCACGCTCGTCGGTTGCGGCATCTACACCTTCTTCCTCTCGGACACCCGTCGTCCCCCTGCGACGGTGGCGCTCAACCACCTGCACGAGGAGCACGTGCGTTCCGTCGAGCGTGCCGAGACCTTGCACGCCGAGATGCTCGACCAGAAGATCGCCCAGACCATCAGCCGTGGCGGCGACGCCAGCGCGCTCCAGAAGAAGCGCACCAACCTCAGCGTCAAGAACTTCTGATCACTCTGTCCTGTGTAATCCCAAGCGCATCCAGACCCTGTTTCGGTTCGCGCTCTCGCTACACTCGTCTGTACTCTTTTCGTCACGATTTGTCTGCAATGTTACGGGAAGTCAATGCGTCGTTCCAATTGTTCGTTGGTGAATGTGGCAAGCTGAGGTCTCACCACTCGACCTGGTCGCGGGCGGCCTGGCTCACGCGGCGCAGCACTGACTCTTCTTCATCCAGGAGCTGCTTGACAAAGGCGAGGGAGAGGACGCAGCCTTGCATGTCTGGTTCGATGCATGGAGCTGCTGTGGTTGATGCCACTCGACTTTCTGCTTTCGAGGCGCCATCGAGGATACTTTGCGCCTCGGCCAGGTGTCGGCGAGCCTCATCGGTATGCGCCCGACGAATTTGGCACAGCTCGACAAGCAAGACATGAGCACGCCGCTCGTTCTCCTCCGAAACATTTTCTCGATAGCCGGTCAGCGTCTCTTCCCACCTGTCGAGGTCCGACGAGTCATTGATGCCGAAATGTGGCGGATACGAGGCCTTCTTGCCAGCTTTGACGCCCGGATGCGACTTGACTTTTGCGACCTTGTGGCTCTGCGATGGATGCGACGCGGGTGGGTGCATGTCGAGCGCCGCGAGTCGGAGCGCGGGGATGAGGCGATGCGAGGGATGGGCCGGCTCTGGATACGGGTGGATGGTGAACTCGCCCCAGTAGCCTCGATTCTGTAGCAGCTCGATCTTGTCCTGTCCGCTACTGCCCTGCGCTGCGAGGAGCGCTTCGACCTCCTGGTCCATGAGGACGTCGACGAATCGACTGCCACACCAGCGGCCCTCACTTTGCGAAGGCGCTTCGGCAGCGTCATCACGGTAATGTAGCCGTGGTGACAGCACAAAGCCGTATTCCGAGAGCAGCTTTTCGTTGGAATGCGGACCGTAGGTGATGCAACACTCGTCTCCAGGCATCATCGTAGCTGCACTGGAGCTGGACTGGAATTGGAATTGCTGGTGTTGGCTGGGTGCGCACAGCTCGAGACCGCCGTTGTTGGCATAGCGCACCTTGCACTCGAGCGCTGGGTCGGGCGTGTGGTTGGCCATGTCCAGCACCGGCGCAAGCGTAAAGTTGTCGGCATGATCGGCGAGGCCAAGCGGGAGAAAGACGCAGCGCGAGTTGACGCAGAGCCAGGCCCAGAGAAACAAGTCGACGTCGATCGAGCGCACGATTTGACGGGCGAGTTCCGAATGGGAGGAGAGCAGCGCTGGTTCAGCTAGCAGGTCGGGCTTCGAGTCTCGCAGTTGGCACAGACGCGCCCAATCTTTCTCGAATCGTCTTCGAACGTTGCGTTCAAGTGCCTGGCTGTGGCGTGGGAGTGCCTCGAGAAGCGATCGGAAGAACCGACGTTTCCACGAAGCCTCTTTGCTGCCGCCGTCGGAGACCTTCTGATCGATATTGCGAGCCTGGATAGACCAAACAAGCGGCACCGTTCCGAACTCGACGGGCAGAGTCTGCACGAAAAGCCGGAGCGCTTGGTGCTTTGGCGTTGCATGCTTCTGGTCTTGGCCAAGTTGCTGGCTCACCGACTCGAGCTGCGCACGTGCGACCAGCAAAGATAGCAGTTGTGCTGACGAGAGTCGACTGTCGATCGTGACCGAGGGTCCTGCTACACTGACTGCAGCTGGGAGCGTCTCTGGATGAAAGAAGTCCGCGTAGCTCTTGACGTTGAGCAGCAAGTCGGCGGGCAGCGTGAGCAGCACCTGCCCCGGCTCGACCGCCGTTGTGTAGACCAGTCCTCGACCCGCTGGCACTTGATCCGACACCCGGACTAGCAAGTCTCCCTGCGCTTGAGCCGATCGAGACGGTTCCCCTGCATCACCCGCAGATGTGCAGCGCAACGACAACAGCCGTGACAGCAGACGATTCTGCTCGGTCACGGCTCCGCTCTCTTCTTTCGTCATCGGTCCCCCTCACCTCCACAATGTGTGGATGATCGCGGCACGAAGATGCACTGCGGAGACCTGGTAAGCAGCGTCCATCCCTGTCCCTATGTCAACTTCGCTCGGCTGCAGGCCCGGTAGGTGTGCAGACGGAGACGGTGTTGGTGTGGTTGTGGGAGGAAGAAGAATTTCCAGACTTCCGAGATCCCGCGGCTTTTCAGGGTCTTGCCTCACTGCGTAGGAAGCGGACTTCGGTGTGATTTCGTCCGCACGGTCAAATACTCTCAATCTGACTTCGAGGAGGGACGGCGGGTATATTGCGATCATACCAATCTCATCCACAAGCAAATGTCCAATATAGCCGCAACAACGACTATTCTATGTGAGCGAAACCGCGGGCTGCCGCTGTAACGAGCGTGGCTCGAGAGATCCTCTGACGAATCAGGCAGGGCTGTGGTCGCTGTTGGAGCTGGCGGCTGAAGGCGTGGCTGTCTGCGCCATGCTCTCCTGCGAGAGCTCGGTGTCCGTCTTGGGCACCTTCTCGCCCATGATCGTGTCGGCCGCGTTGTAGCCCATGGCGCCACGCTTGATGTCCTTGGGCAGGTACCAGCCGGGATGGAAAGGAATAAAGACGCCAATGGCGATCACAATCATGAGTGCATCGAGTACGTCAAAGTAGACCTCGGTGGTGGCCAGATAGCCGACCCAGCCGTCGGCCATCTCGACAATACGATAGATGCATCGGATGAGCACAAAGAGCGTGCTGATGCCAATCACGCCGTTGAAGATCTCCACCTTGGGATATGGTCGCTCGTGCTTGGGGATACCGGCTTTGGACCACTCGCGCAGACGGCGCAAGTTGTAGTCGAGGTAGAGGAGCAGGAACGGCGCTGTCACGGCCACCTGGATCGAGACACCGGCGATCATGATCGATTTTCCCAGATTGACGGCATCCTCGGTCTCCGCTTCCGCCGACAGCGCACCGCCCACAGCTTGGACGACGAGAGAGCAGAAGTCGCCTGCGCAGAAGCCGAGGACGTACCACTTGCGCGGGATGCGCGACCACTTGGATCCGTAGACGTCCATGACGTTCTGGAGGGCGACGTAGTTGACCGCGCTGATGAAGGCTGGGCTGAGGATGAGGCAGATGATTTGGGCGATGTAGCCGTTGCGGTCAAAGGGGTCGTGGTGTCCGTAGGTACGCGCGATCCAGCCTGCCAGCTCGCCCGCAGCGCCGACGACTGCGATGAACATGAAGCGCGGGAAGAGGCGGTGGTAGGCGAGGAGTCCACAGTGGACGATCAGTTCGATGCCAAAGAGGCAGCAGAAGAGGANACTGCGATGAACATGAAGCGCGGGAAGAGGCGGTGGTAGGCGAGGAGTCCACAGTGGACGATCAGTTCGATGCCAAAGAGGCAGCAGAAGAGGATGCCTGTCCATAGTGCTGGCTGGAAGCCATATGAAGAGTATGCGGCATTGCAAGGCGAGTCTGGGTTGGGGTCAACGGCAGTGCAGTTGGATTGCATCATCCTTGCAGACTGTCACGCTGGTTCGTGCTCTGGTCGCGACAAACAGAGATCGGCAAAGGTCGGAGAGCTTCTGGAGCGGCAGCGCGGTGGACTTGTAGCGTAAGGGTAAGGCAGGACGAGGAACAGGTCGGGGGATGCACTATGAGGGAGCAGGATACCCGGGATCTTTATACGCGGCGAGAGGACATGTGGGAAATGGAGACTTGGGGTCCGTTTCACTGGACCGACGGCTGAAGAGCGAGACTCAGGGCAATGTAGAGCCGAGAGGAACCCTGTACGACCACGGTACACTGGTGTGGCACGAGAGGCTTACATTGAGGTATGGCAGTCCAGTGAAAGGTCCGGGCGAATCGCACCCAACCTTGTCGCGGGGCTTTTTCCGCTGCGGCTCCTTTGTGCATCACCCGCACACACGCAGAGAGGTAGACAGCTCATGCCGACGGTCGAGTCGCACAAGGCCGAGGCTATGACGGAAACTTTGTAGCCATGACGGCGCTGCGGGCCCTGTGGCACCTCCACTCTGCGGGCTTCACGCTCTGGTCTCCACCCTCCTCCGGCGGGGGAGAGCATAAGTATGTGCACCTCGAAGCATGCTTTTCGTGTCGCACAGCGTAGGGTAAGGGAGTTGTGACTGGCAAAACCATTGTTCAGAGGCGTAAGCGGAGTCAGGTTGGCCGTCCAGAGTGCGCGCTACCGTCACGGTACTGACGTCGAGTGCTCAAAGTCAGGCGCAAAAGCCTTCCGTTGTAAAACGCCGACAAGCCAAGACAGGCGGCCAAGTTTCCTCCGAACTTTTCAAGGTCTCAGGCTGCAGAGACACCGCCTTTGTGTTTTCTTCTTCGTCTCAGCACGTAATTCTCCGAGGATTCGGCTGCGCCCTGGTCTCGGCACAGGTCACATTCATATCTCCCTTCCGAGGCCTCACATCGTCCTGTAGGCGATCGCGGACACTGTGCAAGGGCTGAAGTCCACCTAGGTTGTGGGCTGTAGCATTGTTTCGAACGCCACAGTCAACCTCCAGCGTCACACTTGCTTTTTTGGTTCTGGCGTTAAAAAACATGGACCCAAGGCGGCTCGAAATGTGCCCGGTTGCCTTGAGCCCACCACGTGAATTTATGCAGACGCACAGCTCGGAAGTCGCCGCTGCAACTTGAATCATACCTCGGAAGTCGAGCTCCGTGAGCGTGTCGCTGTGATTCGACGCCCGATGCCCGACTTCAAACGGATCTCGTCGCACGGTCAAGCTGCTACGCCACGATAGCCGCACAGACGAGCTGCAGGTCCGCATCGCAAAGCCGACGATCCCGCAAAGCCACAGCGCTGCCAAGATGGCTTCCGCGGACTTTCCGAAGCGGCGTGAGGTCTTGGATCCACGTCGTGCTGTCACAAGTGCTTCTCGGAGCAAATGGTGGTGACCACACGACCGCACGGGTTACCGCCGCCCACATGGCTGAGCTGGCCCCTTGTCTCCGTGGCCGAGCACACAGCGTGGACGCGACTCGCTGCACCGCCTTGGCCGCACCAGCGTCACGCTCCACCATCCAGTCACAGACGCGCACACACACGTCCCCCTCTTGATCCTGTGAAATTACAGCTCGTGCGTACTGTCCATTGCAAGACATGCTGTGACCAGTCGTGGCGACAGGCAGTGCAAGGCTCGAGGACAACCTCACTCCCGCGCCCTTGCCGGCCGCTTCCGTCATTGCACAGCGTGTCTCTAGACAACGGTAGGTGGGCCATTGTGAGGACATCAGCAGCTTCGCTGTCGCCAGCTTGGGTCTCGTTCGAAAAAAATGTTAGACTGATTCTGCCGATGTTGCTCGACCACGTTTAGCGCCCGGTGGAGTTGTTGGTGTCATGCATGCAAAATGCCCAGCGCAAAAGATGACGCAACGCAGATCCATGCATCGGCAGGGTCCTGACCGCTGTGCGAACCAGCCCAGAAAGAGTCGCGACGAACCACACAGATGCCCGCAGCATGAGGGAAGGCGTGCTGCGCCATGTCTCTGCATACGCTGCCTCTCCCCCATCACCTCTGTCCGTTCCGAGAACCTTCAAAAGCTGCGCCTTCACTGTTGCCGTGCAAACGTGATCGCATCGTCGACTTACCTACTCTCGCACTGCAACCATCGTGCTGCTTTCCGCTGCCATGTCGTCGGTGGACTCTTCGAAAGGACCACGAGTCCTTCTCACGGGTGTGTCGGGCTTCGTTGGCTCGCACGTCCTCGACCAGCTGCTCAAGTCGGACCGCAACTACCACGTCACCTGTGTGATTCGATCCAAGGCCAAGACCGAGCCCTGGCTCTCGAGCCAGTTTGCTGACGACTTTGGTCGTCGCCTCGATGTAGTCGAAGTGTCGGATCTGCTGGCACCAGGAGCTCTCGATCAGGCTGTCGAGGGCAAGGACTATGTCGTCCACGTCGCCTCGCCCTACGTGCTCAAGGCTCAGAACAACAGGAAGGACATCATCGAGCCTGCCACCAACATGACGCGCAACGTGCTCGAGGCCGCGCTCAAGGCCGAAAAGGCCGCCATCCAAGCCGGCCGCAAGCCGCAGCTCAAGCGTATCGTCGTCACCTCGTCCTTCGCCGCCATCCTTAATCCGCTCCGCGGCATCGAGAAGCGCGACTACACCTACACGGACAAGGACTGGCAGCCCATCACATCCACCTTCCTCAGCTCCTTCTACACGCCCCTCGCCTATCTCGTCTCCAAGACGCTCGCCGAAAAATCCGTCTGGGCCTTCCTCGAGCAGCACAAGCCCAGCTTTGACGCCGCCACCGTCAACCCTCCGCAGATCTACGGTCCCATCATCCATCCGGTCGCCTCGGAGGAGGCCATCAACACTTCGTCGGCCGAGCCGTGGAAGCTGTACAAAGCGGGCGGACCCAATGGCGATGGCAAAGTGCCGGTTGAGGCCTTCTGGTCCTTCTGCGACGTGCGCGATGTGGCTCGCATCCACGTAGCCGCGCTCGACAATCCAAAGGCGTCCAACACGCGCTACCTCGCGTGCGGCGGATCCGTATCGTGGCAGGAGGTGGCCGACGAGATTCACGACAACCCCGAATATCCACAGGCCTTGAAGGACCACATCCCCAAGGGCAACCATGGCGCAAAGCACCGCCCCACTCCTCTGGCTACGCTCGACACCAGCCGCGCCCAGAAGGATCTCGGCATCCAGTTCCGTGACTGGAAGGAGTCTGTCATCAAGGGCTCCCTTTACAGCTTTGTCGAGATCGAAAAGAGCTGGGCCAAATGAGTCCGCCTCTCAAGCTGGTCTGCTCGCCTTTTCCCGCGATGACTTGTATCAAGACGACCCGTATGATTCCCCCTAATACCCCTGGAATAGCAGCTTCACGTTGAATGTCACACTGGTGCCCAAGCAACACTGCGTGTGCCGACAGAACGCGATGAAGCAGTGACATTTTTTTTCGTTTGGAGCTGAGTTCTGCACGTGTTTCTCGTCAGGTCCTGCGTGCAAGGAATGCGACAAAGAGCGATCCAGAGATGGCGTCAGCAAGTGCAGGTCCACATCGCGGCTTGCCATGCTTTTGGCCAATGAATACTCACTCGACACGGTGGCCGCTGGCGGCCTGCTTGGCGGCTTGCAGGGCTCCAAGAGCAGCTGTTCAGGCAAGAAATGGTCGCTGGTCAGATCACGTTCCCGCTCGCACGTCCGAGTCATCTGCTTTGGCTGGCGTGTACTTACCTCCCACACCACTTCCGTCCTTGGCGAGACCAATCTTGACACGCTTTTCGCCCTCTTCGCCGATGAGCTCGCGCAGAGCGCCTCTGAGACGCTCCTCAAAGTCTGCATGTGCGGAAGGGAAACGGTGAACAGGCGAAGGGTCAGCTCCGACTCGATAAAATGTGCAGCGCGGATGCGCGTGGAAGACTTACGAGGATAGAACTCGATGACACTGCCGTCGACGCCGACCTTGACGCCCTGGTCTTGCGGCCCTGTGCTCTGAACGTTGCCGGTCTGAATCATGGTGGCGGCGATGGCGGTGGCACTCAGTCGTGCTGCGCGCGTGCCGACGATCTTGCAGACGGTGCGGACGGTCTCGATGTCCTCGGTCGAGATGTACTCGTCCTTGATGCTGAGCGTCTGGACGAGCACCTTGCGAGTGGCGCTCGACGAAGACGAGGCAGGCTCGTTGTCGGCTTCGATGGCGGACATGTAAGCGGTGTCGAAGCCGTACTGCGTGTTGAGGATGGCGGAAGAGAATCCCTGGAAGAGGACGAGCTGGTCGATGAGGTGGAGGAGCACGAGTCGGGCGACCTCGCCGAGGTACATGCCGCTGATCATCTTTTCAAAGACGTGATTTCTGGGTCGGATGGATTGGCGGTCGAGCTGGTTGTCGAAGATGGTGACGGGCAACGCCTTGCGGTCGTCGTCGAATCCTCCCCATTCGGTGTTGATGACCATGTGTGTGATGGAGCCCTGGGCGGACTTGAGCTTGGTGATTTTGGAGATGTCCTCGAGGTAGGCGCCGTTGGTACCCGTGCCGAAGATGGCGCTGATCAGAGCGCCGTTGGAGGCGTAGGCGTGGGCGAGGAGGGCACCCACGGTGTCGTTGACGAGCGCGCTGCACTTGACCTTGATGTGCTTGCGGTCGAGCGCATCTTGCAAGAGCTGGACGACGTCCTTGCCCGGAGCGTCAGGGCAGTCGAAGCCCTTGGTCCAGTGGATGAGGTGGCCGCGGTCGATGGCGGTCTGCTCGACGGGGAAGCTGAAGGTGAAGCCGAGGAAGAGGACGTCGTCGTTGGAAGCGGTGCCAAAGTCGGTGAGGAAGTTGTCGACGCTGGTGGCCATGTAGTCGAAGAGGTCACGCACGGGACCGCGCTTGAGCTGTTCCGAGACCTTGTACTTTTCCTGCTTGATGGTGAAGGTGCCCTTGCCGTCGAGCGCCACCTCGCAGACCCGCAAGTTGGTGCCTCCGAGGTCGAGTGCAAGGTAGGTGCCCTTCTCGGAGCCATCGGGCACGCCAGTGACGAAGGAGGGGATCATCTGCATGTCGGCGCCATGGTTGGCGAGACCGTAGTGGTAGAGCTCCTGGAAGCGTTCGACCAGGGATTCCAGCATGGTCTTGTCGACGCTGAATTGCTCCTCGATGGCCTGAATGGCACTCTGCCGCGAGACGTTGGGCACAGCCGGCATGATGAAGGTGCAGCGGGCAAGCTGTGACTATTCGCTGAAGCTGTGGCGTGCAAGACGGAGCGAGAGAGAAGCAGACGAGCAAGGGTCGTGTGAAGGAGGAAGCAAGAGCGCAGACGCCAAGAGCAGGAAGGGTTGGGTCGGGTCGGGTCACGGGAGTGGGAGCGCAGAGCTGGAAGCCAATGCAAGCAGGCGAGCCAGAGCTTGGCAACGACGGGGCGGCACTCCTGCCCGATGTCCTAACCGAGCGCACAGACAAAAAGGTCGAGCGAGCTGACGCTGCAAAAGGCAAAAGGCTGCTGCACACAAGTCAGCCATGGGAAGGGTGGGCCGAGCGCCGTCCGTTGGTTTGGGTGCGAAATTCGCCATTACGCCGCCGTGCTGCTGCTGTGCAGACAGACAGGCGCAGACGAATCAGAAATTCCACTCTCCCGCCTTGAGCTCGGCGGAACCCAGGGCTGGCCTTCGGAGGAACCCTCTCCCACCCAACATCGCGCCATGCAGGCAGGTCATGCAAGTAATCCAGGCACCATACGTCAGGCTGCTGCTTCACTCTTCCCATCCCGCCTTCACGGCGTAAATCTGGCCCACAACAACGCTCGGCAACAGAAATGTCCACGCGATGTTGGGGGCCGTTTTCGGCCGCTATCCGTGTGCAGCACACAGTTTGTCTCTCTCACCACCGCCGTCAGACGGATACAAAAGCGCGGGGACCCACTCTGGCCCACAAGCAGAGGTGCATGCGAAGATGGGGTCCGAGTCACGGGAAAATCGGGATCGTGCGTCCTCTTCCGATTCAGATCGGCGATGCATAACCTTGAAGGTCCTCTCCACTCGACGGGTCTTCTGCCGATAATGCAGGCTGTCTGTCGGACTCAGCGGGCACGTTTCCGACGAAACAAACTGCTCGAGCTTGGTGTCACGTTCCCTCGTCTGCAACACTTTAAGCTTGGCTCTCTCTTGTCCGCCGCACCTTTTGCGAGCTCGGAAGCATGAGCCAATCCCATCGAGGCCGAAGCCGAACGTGGCCTCCCGAGAGGCTACAGACCGGCCGAAGAGCATGCCCGCCTCAATCTCGACTGACCTGCACCATATAATCAGGAAGTTACTCGCAAAGTTGATCATACGACCTTCCCTCCCGCCAACTTGATCACCGAACCTCTTCCTTCCATCAGCAGCGGTGAGCAGCGATGCCGGCGATAGGATACAGCTTGCCTGCCGTAGATGGCAGCGGCTCGACAGCACCGCCGCTGCCTAGTGCGTCTCTGTTGCCACCCGAGATCTTCCATCATCTTGGCCAATACTCGCCCTGGTTTCCGGCCGACGCAGAATCATCTCGGCTCAGTGCTCCCCACGGCTGCTCGGTCGTATTCGTCAGCCAGCTAGAAAGGCACGGCTCTCGCTATCCCACGGGAGGTGCTTTCAAGGACCTGAGCAAGACGCTGCGTCAAGTCGCAAAGCATCTTCAGCACGTTTCCGACGCAGAACCATTTCAGCGCCACGGCCAAGGCCTCGACCCGGATCTCAAGTGGCTGCGCCATTGGGTCGACCCGAAAAAGCGCTCGGATGGTGGGCTTCGCAACCGCATTGGCGACTCGGAGCTCGTACCATTTGGGCAGTACGAGGCCTACTCTTCGGGTCGGCGCTTCTACGAGCGCTATGCTGATCTCTTCGAATCTGAGCATGTCGATGTCAACCTCGACTATGCCCAACATTCGAGCGGCAACGAAGAAGCTGCATGCTTCAGATCCCTGCTGCAGGCAGCGTGTCCGACCCAGTTGAGCTCTTCTCCTCCAGCCAGCTACGTGTCGGCGCTACAACTGCATCGTTATGTTCGTCAGACGATCTGCCACTACCTGGGAGCCGGCCATTCCGCCGAGGAGTTGAAGCTGGAAAAGCGCCCTTTCGTGAGGGCCTCGGGCGGAGACCGCGTGGTCGCCACATCCCGCTTCTGGCTACAGGGCTTCAAGAACTCGCCTCATAGAACTTTCCAGCATGCTCCGCCCGAGTCAGCCCCCTGGCCACAAAAGGGTCGTCCTGCCGTGATTGGAGAGCTGAAAAGCGGCAAGCCCCATCGAAGAATTCACAACCTGCCCGAGCCAGATGTCATCATCCCCGAAGTGCGCAAGATCGACGACCCTGCCCAACCTGGTAGCAATAACACGCTCGACGTGCACACCTGCTCTGCTTTCGAACACCAACATCGCGACAACGCGCAGAGCCCTGCTTCGCTCAAGAAAGAGGCCTTCACTAAGAGAGCCACGGCACGAATCCGTCGGCGTCTCGCTCGCCAGCTTGGCAAAGACCATCGAGGCGATAGGCTGGATTTAGAACCGCAGCAGGTGTTGCAGCTCTTCAGTCTTTGTGCCTTCGACACTGTAGCGCGCCTCGACCCCTACGGGATTCTCTACGACCAGCCGGAACGCAACGAGGGCGCTGTGAGCCCTTTCTGCAACCTCTTCAAACCCGACGAATTCGTCAGCATCTACGAAGTCACCACGAATATGGAGAAGGATTATGGATTTGCCACCCACCAGCCCTTCCATAGAGCCCTGGCGACCCCTTGGCTTCGCGAGCTCGTCGCTAGACTCGAGCGACGCGCGCCCGTCATGTCGCCTCCTACCTCTATCAACACGACCCTCGATGAGGACCCGAAGACTTTCCCTCTGCCCTCAGAGGGTGGCCCACGAGCATTCGTCGACTTCACGCACGACAACCAGCTTGCACCCGTCATCGCGTCGCTCGGACTGTTGGGCGAAGAGCAGAGCTGGAAGGCTTCATTGACCACTCCCTTCTCCGGCAGGATGACGGTCGAACAGCTCGCCTGCAACGCCACCGATTACGTACGCATCCTGGTCAACGATGCACCTGCAAACGCCTCGCAGGGCAAATGGTGCCCAGGTGCGGTTCAGAACTCGGCGGCCGAGAGCGATCAACTTTGCCCCTTGCCTTCCTTCCTGGAGTCGCTCCGATGGGTGGATCGCGCAAACGAGTGGAACAAGTGCGACTCGGAGGATCTCCAGCACTCGCATCAAGAGTCATCTCCGCTGTGATTGCTACCTGTAAAACTGCCATGTCACCTCGTTCAAACTCAAAGTACACATCTAGTCCACAACAGCGGGTTGGAAGCCATGTGCGGCTCAACAGCATGGCTTCATGGCTTTCAAAGCGAAGATTGCGGAGAGCCAGAGATCGATCGGGAAAGATCGGCTCGGCTTGATCGGGAATTAATATCGGAAGAAACTGGAAAATCGCCTGCGGCAGCGTCTCGTAAGCGGCCTCCGAGTCAGTGGTCTGGGTGTCAGTCAAACCGATGTGATTCCCTCTCCGTTCCACCACCATGTAGGCCAACCGTGCTTCGCGTCACAAGTAAGTCATCTCCGTCTTTCGACCCACTAGAACAGGCCTGCTCCGTGCCGTTCTTCGTCCTGCAGCCTTTCCGCTTCTCCTTCCCACCGGCAATGAGCGATCGCGCTAGGTTTTAAAAAGCGCTCAACATATCTGGCACCTCTTCGCCGAGCCCTTGGCTCTGGCGGCACGCTCGCTTCACGGCAACGTGTCGCCTGCTTTGGTCGATGCCGCAACTCTTGATTTCTGAGCCGTCTTCCATCTTTCATCGATGGTTACTTATGTCGGAAGGGGCAGCAGCCGAAATGTCCAGGACAGGGCTTCCACTCGCGCAAACTAGTCGTGCGGCATGTAGGCTGACCCTTGGCTTCATCTTTTGCCGATTTGCCCTCGCAGATTTCACAATGTTGCGTCCAACGCAGTCTCTGATGCTCCGTTCGTCGCTGCGCCAGCTTGCGTCGGCTTCCAATCAGCCCATCCCACCTGGATCCGAGATGAACGCAGTCAAGCGCACCGCCGCCACCATTCTGCCGCCGGTCAAGCTTTACAGGCGACTTCTGCGTGCACACAGGAAGCTCGACGCCGATATGCGTGCTGTCGGCGACAACTACATCAAGGACGAATTCCGAAGGCACAGGTTGATTGACAATCCTCTCCAAATTGTCGGCTTCCTCAGCTCGTGGAAGATGTACTTGGACCAGCTCGAGGTGCAGCAGGGTCAACCCGGCGGATTCCGAGGACAACGTCTGGATCCGCAGCTGCTCGAAAAGATGTCGGACGAGCAGATCTACCAGATCCACGACCTTATGACTGCAACCCAGGAGGCCTACTCCGAGAAGGCGCAAGCTCACCCTCCGCACCAGCAGCGTGAACTGGCCGAAAAGGCGGCGGCTGAGGCTGGCATGTCTGTCAAGAAGGACACTTGAAACGACCCGCAGGATCCCCCTTTCAAAACCTCAGCTTGCTCTGCAACCTCGATACCATTTGATCGCACGTTCTTCTTTTTTCTTACTATCGCACTCGCATCGTACTTTTATATCTCTGCTGTATTTGTAATCCATAATCCTGCATCTTCCCTTCCGCTGTGCCGGCTTCGTGGAGACCGAGATGCCAAGCGTGCTTCGAGTCAAGTGCAAGACGATGGTCGAGGCAAGGTGCAGCAGAGCTACACCCGGAACTCGGCTGGCGTGATTGACGCGCCGACCGAGAAAATTTCGGTTGGAAGAAGTGAGCTTTGCATTTTGAGCCAAAGGGTGCGGATCCAAGCGCCTTCAGACTCGGTTTCCGCATCACAACGATCCCTTGAACTGGGCGACGCATCTCGGGAACCGGCACCGGCACCGGCACGATGGGTGGCAATCAGGGCGGCGTGGCGAGCACGTCGAGCGCAACCACGCTCCAGGATGGCCTTCGCAAGACGCAGCCGTACTGGTACGAGTTCCAGACGTACGCCAAGCTGCGCTGGTTCGGGCGCGAGCTCATCGAGATCATGACCACCGAATTCCGCGACCGCACCAAGGAGTACTACGTCTGGGCCATCCACAAGGGCATCTGCACCGTCAACGGCGAGAAGGCTGACATTCACCAGGTCATTGGCGACGGAGACAAGATCTGCAACAGCGTCCACCGTCACGAACCTCCCGTCACCGACGAGCCCATCAAGATCATCCACCGAGACGACGACGAGGGCATCCTCGTCATTGTAAAGCCGGGATCGATCCCAGTGCACGCTGCGGGCAGGTACCTCAGACATACGCTCACGGACCTGCTCCGTACCGAACACGGCATCCAGATGGTGTACACCACCAACCGACTCGACCGACTCACCAGCGGCATCATGGTCTGCTCCACCAAGAAGGAGACTGCGTCCAGGCTCGGTGCGCAGTTTGCCGCTGGCCAGGTGAGCAAAGCCTACGTCTGCCGTGTGCGCGGCCAGTTTCCCGAAGGCGAGATCGTCTGCAAGGAGCCGATCCTCACCATCGACCGACAGAGCGGCGTCAACATCGTCCACCCAAAGGGCAAATACTGCGAGACCATCTTTGTTCGCCTTTCCTACGACGCCGAAACCGACTCGAGCGTGGTATTCTGCAGACCTATCACCGGCCGCACGCATCAGATCCGAGTGCACGTACAATACCTCGGCCACCCTATCTGCAACGACCCCATCTACGGCCACGACGTGTGGAGCAAGGTGGACCCATCGTCGTTCGCGCAGGTCATCCCCGATCAGTGGAAGAAGGTGGGCGGAGAGATCGGCCAGAAGGAAGTCGAGATGATCGTTGACGCCATCAAGGGCGATCAGGATGGCCAGGAGGACTGGGCGCGGTGGAAAGACGAAGTACTTTTCAAAGACATGATCGCTCAAGAAGGTCTTGAGAACGTGCACGTTCCCGGACCCAATGGTCGATCCAGTCGACCCTCGGACGAACTGCTCAAGCGCGCGCTCGAGAAGCTTGATCAAGACAAGGGCGAGGTACCGGCCAAAGGCCTCAACCGACCTGCGGACATCGAGACGGCTTGGCAGAAGCGGGTGCGCGAGCAATCGTCCGACTTTTGCCCAGAGTGCAAGATCCCACTCTTACCAGACCCGAAACCGGAAGAGCTCTACATCTACCTGCATGCGATCAAGTACTGGACCGACGATTGGTCGTTCGAGGACGCGCTGCCGTGGTGGGCCAGGGAAGACTGGAAGTCGATCACCCCGCATGGGAGTGGGGCTGGTAAAGGAGCAGGCGAAGCGAGCCTTCCCAAGGGTCTCGCCGAGGCAACAAAGTCGGACTCGCATCTTTCGAGCTCTGCAATCTCGAGTCTCATCACAACCGAGATCGAAGAGAAGGCATCGCGGCTTGCTGAACCTCAAAAGTACGTCGAGCAGGATCGCGGTGTCGAGCTCACCCAGGTGCGTCAGCTGGTCGACTACCCACCGCAGAGCATATCTTCTTCCTCGCTCAGTCCCGCAATTGCCACAGCGAGCACAAGCATCAGCGTACCCATCGTCTTCCAGGTATTCGGCGGCTTTGAGGACTTTGCACAGCGCGAGGTCCTCCAGCAGACGCTCGCGCGTGCACCACAACAGGCGCAACAGGCGTCTTCCCAAGCTGCGACATCTTCGAGCATCCACTCGGGCCACGTGCGCGTCGTCGACGATCGCCTCGCGCCGCACGCACTCGAAGCCTACTTTGACGCCAAGCTGGGCATCGCCAAGACGGCGTATCTGCTGACCGCCCTGCACCAATTTCCCAGGGAGCTGGCCAAGGAGCTCAAGCATGAAAAGTACATTGGCGGCGCGAGCAAGCGTGCCAAATGGAAGGCGAAGGAGCTGCGCAAGGCGCTTGCCAAGAAGGAAGGCAAGAAGCTGGGTACGCAAAAGACGACGCCCGGTCTCATCGAGAAGCCGCTGGTTCTGCGTCAAGAGGAACGCGGCCTCGACGCATCGTCTTCGGTCGATGCAACCGCCTCGACTCAAGACAGCCAAGTGACCCCGTCCATTGCGTCTCGAAAGGAGGCAGCAGGCAGCTCAGCAGCGAGCGAAGCTGGCACGGACGATGGAGCACCGTTTCCGTCGGAGGTCAAGCTGCTGAAACTGCTGGACGAGGTGTGGGACTCTTCGCGCGCCCAGCTCGACAAAGCGCTAGAGAGCTGGCTGCGCATTACTGAGGCTTGCACGGGTATCACCGTGCCGCCTGAACAGCGAACATACCGCGCGACAGTCGACCGAGCGACGTACAACCTGCCGAGTCTGAACTCGCAGACGATGGAGCGATATGTTGGCGAGCTGGCGTGGGAGTGGCTCAACGGACCGGACGATGACAACACGGACCGGTCAGCACCGAGAGCGTGGAAGGTGGATCTGGAGAAGCCTCTGCTGGACGTGACGCTCAAGTTCTTGCCCGGTTTCGGCATTGGCGATGAGTTCGAAAAGGAGCTCGACGAGGACGACGACCCGGCGCTCAAAACGGAGGGGCAAATCGCATTCATGCTCAAGCTGCCAGCGCCGGTGACGCCGTTCCCGAGGCGACCACCGGGAAGGAACGCGCTGCTGGTTGGAGGAACGACCATGGCCGAGTACCGGGCTGCGTCGCTTGCTTTGGCGCTGGCTCTTCCTCTAGAACGCAAGGGCCAGAATGGAGTGGAGAGCGAGGGGCTGGGCCCGTTGCGGGTGCTCGAGCCTTGCTGCGGGCATGGCTCGCTGGTATTCGAGACAGCGGCGATGATGGAGGCGCGAGGACTGCGCGGAGAAGTGCTCGGGTGTGATGTAGACGACGAGACAGTTGGACGGGCGCGTCAGATCGCCGAGCTTGCTGGCCTGGGCGCATCGAGCGGCGAGGTGCGTGTGCATCTGCGCGGCGTTGACGTTACGGACCGTGCGGCGCTCGAGGCCTTCGTGGGAGGTCGAGGCACGATCGACGCCATCCTCACGGATCTTCCATGGGGAAAGCGCGAAAAGGCCTCGCAGTCGCTGTCGAAGCTCTACCATTTCTTCCTCGAGAGTTGGTTCGCCGTGCTGCGCACGGGTGGCTCCATTGTCACTGTGACCGCCGAGCACAGGACGCTGTCGCGCGCGCTGGCGGTATTCGAGACGACATGCAGGAAGAAGCGCGTGGGCGCGTGTCTCAAGATGGAGAATGTGCGCATGCTGTCACCGTCGGGCGGCGAAGTGAGCGGCCTGGAAGAGGACAAGGTCAAGCAGCAAGGTCTGCTCGAGGCGGAGCGCAACAGCCAAATGCGCAAGATCGAAATCGGCTACCACGTCTACGTGTTCCAGATCCGCAAGATTGCAATCTAGTTGCTCTCGAAAGCTGATTTTATGTTGCATTGCATCGCTAGGCTGCGTCCGAGCACCATCGACTGCGGCGAAAAAGGTTGAGGTTTGAGGAGATGGTGTGGCATCGGGCCGATCCGGTGGGTGTCGGCCAAAAACCCGAAGATGAGCGAGCGACACAGCATGTGGAGCGGGAGAAGAATCACACAAAATTGCCTAAAAGGGTGGCTTCCGCCGATCTGGCTTCGGATGAGGCGGTGCTACAGAAAAGGGGCGCGGCCTTCGAGTAAGCCAGACCCCATGGACCGAGTGGCAGTGTACTCAGTCGAAGCCAGAACGACCCGTAACTGGTCCGAATCTTGTCACTGCAGCAAAGTGTGTGCTGAGCAAGTGTCAGGCGGGGCTTCAAGACCACATTGCGGGCCAAGCCTGCCATGCGGAGCAAAACCACGCGGTTCCAACCGGCTGCTCCGACTGCAGCGAGACCTGCACGCCTGCAAATGTATCGGGCCTGCCGAATACAGTCCAGTCCACACGCACCCTCCCCGGCCGGTCACGCCGCAAGGTCGACCGCATTGGAATCAAGCGTTCGGTGAAGCTGAACGCAGCCGTCACTGTGCGGCATGTGACGATGAATTGCGACTCTAGATGCCATCACCGAAGATGTGATTGCAAAGGCAGTTGTCCGCCGGCTCTTGTCAATCGCCCATGTCACAATTTCCTCGAGCCGCCGATGAGCGGCGGCGACTGAGAGAGTGGGGTGAGTGAGCGGGTGAGCGAGTGAGCCAGCGAGTTGACCGACGATCCGGCAACGGCAGTAAATTAATTACGTTGCGAGAAGGGCAAAGAGAGGGTCCAGCTCGCCGGCTGACAGGCACACGGCAGAGTGTCGTCATAGCCGCGAATTTCTGCCGCCGCGAACCCTTGGCACCGCCTCCTTGGAGCAGCCACCGGCCAAACGATGCTGAGCCGCCGCTCGCCCCGACGAATCCGCCTCTCGACCCGCAAAAAAGTCGGATGGGCAAAGGGGTCCAGCCGCGATGACGGACGAGCCGATGGACAACTCCTTCGATGCCTGAGCCTGACGCTGACGCTGACATGCCTTCGCCCTCGCTCGACTCAAGGCTATGCTGACCACGCTCGACGCTCCGGTCGCCTCAAAAGCAGGCGTCCCGGCGACAAGCGAGGCCTGATCCCTTCCTCATAACCCCCACATCCTCCGGCTCCATCCCCTCCTTCATCTCACACAAACCCCCGCTAGAATCAAAATGAAGCTGTCAGGTACCGCCTTGGCAGCCTCCGGCCTTCTGGTCGCTTCGGCATCCTCGGCGCTTGCAGCTCCCGCCGCTTCGTCGTCGTCATCCGCCTCCACTGTCAACGCTGGCGGTGCTGCTGCGAGCAAGCGATCTGCTCCGATTCATATCCCCATCCGCAAGCGCGAGACGGTCAAGCGTTCGGGCAACGAGCTGCTCGAATGGGCCAACGAGCAGAAAGCCATCCTGCAGAACAAGTACGGACTCCCCTCGGCCGGTGCATCCAGCAAGGCACGTCGAGCCCAGGGAACCGCCCTCACCAACGTCCAGTACGACAGTACCTGGGTCGCCACCGTCACTGGCGGCACACCGTCAAAGGACTACGAGGTGGTGCTCGACACCGGCTCGGCCGACTTCTGGATCGCCTCGGAATACTACCAGCCCAGCTCGAGCAGCACTTTCCAGAACCGCTCCACCGCATTCAACGTCCAGTATGGCTCGGGACAGGTGGCCGGCTACGAGGCATCCGATACGTTCTCGCTCGCCGGCACCACTGTGCAGGACACCCGCTTCGCCGTGGCAGACCAGGTGTCGTCCGGTCTGGTGAGCGGCAACATGGAGGGCATCATGGGCATGGGCTTCCAGAAGCTCGCAGCATCGGGCGAGCCGCCGCTCTGGGTCGCGGCCAACGTCGACACCTTCTCCTTTTACTTAGAGAGGGCGTCGCTCACATCAAACAACCAGGAGCAGGCAGGCGGCATCTTTACGCTCGGCGGCACCAACTCGAGTCTGTACCAGGGCAACATCAGCTACAACACGCTCATCGAGGAGCTCTACTGGATGGTGCGTCTGGGCGGTATCGGAGCGCGCGGTAGCGACGTGAGCCTCGACGGTCTCACACGAGCCGCCATCGACACGGGCACCACGCTCGTTGGCGGACCCAACTCGGTGGTGCAGTCGTTTTACGCCAACATCCCAGGCTCGCAGTCGCAGGGCAACGGCTACTACTCGTTCCCGTGCCGACAGACGATCGACGCCACGCTGACGTTTGGCAACCAGCAGTACACCATTCCCGACTCGGACTTTGTTGCGGGCACGCTCGACCAGTCTGGCTCGCAGTGCCTGGGTGCGTTCTTTGGGCTGGGTTCGTCGTCGCAGACTGACCTGCAGTGGATTGTGGGCGACGCGTTCCTCAAGAACGTCTACTCGGTCTTCACCACCTCGGGCAGCAACGGCGCCGCGGTCGGCTTTGCCAGCCTCGCGTCGGGCCTCAACTCGGGCACCAACTCCAAGACGGTCTCGACGTCGAGCACGGGCGCGACGAGTGCGGCGTCGACCACAGCGCAGCGCACGAGCATGCTCTCGCTGGCTGCGGTGCTCGCCGTGCCTCTGATCGCCGCTCTGGCTCTGTAAACTTCAGACAAGAATCGAGAACAATGGCCGTGTAATTCTAGATTGAATCGACTTGACTCGCGTGTGTGCACGGATGGTATTTCGGGAAGAATGAGGCAGGTGACGTTGAAGACCAGGGGAGCTCAATGAGAAACGGTGTGGAGGGGCGATTCGGCGCGCAGTAAGGGGGTGGATCGGCCGGATGCACTTGCGCTGTGTGGGAGCGAGGCCAAGGCTGGGCTTGATCCTCTTCGTCCTGCCGATTTGTGCGTGGGCAGATCGAGTTCGTGGGTGCGGACGCGGGTGAGTGCCCTGTCTAGGCCGGTGGCAGTCGCCATGCCTGGGCCTCCCAAACTGAACCTGCGACCCTGGTCTCCGTTCTTCTGGAGGAGGCATCGCTGCATGGCTGCCTTGTTCACCTGGTCCTTCCAGACGTTTCTGCCTTTTTCCTCCTTGACGGCTTTGGTGGCGAGCGTCTTGACGTCGATGGCGGTGTGCGCGTGGTTGGACGCCGAGTCGAACGAGCGCAGCGAGATGGCGTCGATGGATCTGCGTGCCAGCGCGGGCGTCCGGTTGGCGCGCGTCGAGGCGGTTGAGGGGGGCCGCGAAATCGCCGCCCCCCAGTCGGCCACGCAGTCGGCCACGTCGTCTGCCGTCTCGTCGTCTAAGGCGGGCGGCGACGCCACAAACGCAGCCGTCGCATGTGGCAGCGGCGAGGTCTCGACATGGGTGTCGAGCGAAAGCTTGGGACGGTACTGGCGCAACTGCTGCTTGGCCTTGCTCGTCAGCGCCACATCTCCTTCCGCAAACGGATGGCGGAACGAAGGTTCCCACGGCGACGGTCCGAGCGACAGCGCACCGTCGGGTAGACGCACGGGGCGTGGAGCGAGCAATGGCCTGTCGCCACCGCCCGTTGACTTGCGCGTAGTCATGTGCCCGCCCAACACTGCCCCGTCGACGCACGTCTCGTCCTTCTCGACCACCGCCTCGATGCGTGTGCCCGCAGCCGTGGCGAGGCTCGGCAGCTTGGACGACTTGCGCGGCTGGATCGCCTTCTTGATCACCACGGTGGCTGCGGCTTGACGCTGCTCGTGCATGCGTTGGATCACGTGCTCGTCGATGCTCGCCTCGCCTGCGCCGGCGATGGGTGAAGCAGGCGCAGGTGTATCGTAGAATGCCACCTTGGGCTGGGGACGGACAGTATGTGTGGGTTGGACATTGCCGAGCACCCACAGCTTTCCGCGGTCCCTCTCTGCGGCTGTCTCGCGCTCGATCTCGGGCCTGGGAGGAGGCGCCCTTGCGACGGGGCCCAAGCTGTGGATGATCTTTTCCTTTTCGGTGATCGGGCTGCTGGGTGGGCTGTCGACTTTCGAGTACTCGCTGCGCCTGTTGGCGGCCTTGTGGCGCTGGAGCATCTCCTTGCCCATGGCTGCGGCTTCTGCGCGCTTACGGCGTTCGCTGCGGCGCTTCTTTTCGGCCAGACGCTGTTGGATGCGCGAGGCAGGCACGATGCACACGTTGCCCGGCCCGCACACTAGTGGATCGCCGCGGCGTGCGGTGGCGGTGGAGGCGCCTGCTCCGGCAGCATATGTGGGCGAAGCAAGCTCGTCGGAAAAGACGACATCGTAGCCAAAGACGCGCGAGAAAAAGTAGCTGCTGAGCACCGAGAGCTTGCGATTGATGGTGCGCAGGACCGAGTCGACGATGCGCGCGAGCCGGAGCACGAAGCCGTCGACGACGTTGGAGGCGTGCCTCGAACCGATGTTGCCCATTCTGGCTGGCGGTAGTAGGCAAGTGGCTGGTGGTTACGGGTGATGGATCGATCTAGAGGCAGTGCTGCATGGTGAATTGGATGCTGGATCGATGCTGAATAGTGTTGGCGGTGTTCGGGGTGTTGATAAGGATGGTGCGTGCGTGTCGTCAAAGGGCTCGTGGAGGGTATCAGTGGTGGAAGAGGAGGGGGTATCTTGAGGAGTTGAGATGACGAGGGGAAGGAAGGGCCGCGAAGAAAGGGGCGGGCTGTGTGCGGTGTGCGGTGTGTGAGCGGAGAGAGGGACTCTTTGGGTTTGGAACAGGGGCAACTCGAGTGATGTAGCGGAAGCGTAATGGCGTGTTCTGGGTTGCTTCGAGAGTGTTGGTTAGGGGCTGTCAGTGCCGCAAGCGAGGTGCCAAAGTCGATGCACCCACGCGTCGGACTTTTTTGGTGCGTGCATCATTCGTCTTGCCCATCTCAGCCCACTTTGGTGAGCGAAATATAACCCATCCATCCAATCGTTCGGCCATCCACGCGAGACAAGCGGTTCGCTTTAGCATCCTCCAAAGAATACTGCAATTCCCATTCTGTTTCGGAACGGGCCGTTCGAACGAGCAACTCAACTGTATCGCAACACAGCGTCCGGCCCATGTGCGAAAGTCCCTTTCTTCAACATCTCGCCGCGAATTTCAGAGCCAATTTGGAATTTGCCTCTCCGCACCGCAGAGTCGCGTGGCAAGAACAACAACACTGCCCCACTGCCGCACCTCCCTTTCCGCATGCATCACATCCGCACATCATGCAGCTGCAGCTGCAGCTGCAGCACACAGCACACGCAACCCACACGCACGTCCACTTGCCCCTTGACTTAGCTTGCTCTGACCGTATCACTCGCCGCTTTGCATGTCACACTCGCAAGTCACACGAGACGAACAGTCATTTCCTTCCATAGAATTTGCAGAAAGATAGAGCGAGTCCTAAATTATAACGAAAGTCGTCTTGTCTTGAGTCCGATCTACTTGTCCTTGGCAGCGATCTCGGTCGCCAGTGTATCCAGATCCAGTCCAGTCTTCCCTTGGTCCGCACGAGCCGGCGATGACCCCTCTGCCGCCGGATGGTCGACCTCGTGGACGGTCTCTAGCGCAGGCTCGTTAAGCCTCGCCTCGTTCTCGCGCCTGATCTGCTCGACCTGCGCATCGATGTCCCTGGCGAATGCAGCGAGCAGCTTCTCCTCGACCTCGCGCTTCTTCTTGCTCTTCTCGCCGCCCTTCCAGATGAGCACCGCTGCGCCAATGCCCGCAAGGAACGAGCACGGCATGAATGTGCCCGTGCTCCAGGCGGGGCGGTCGCGGTAGTGCGTCGCATAGCCCCACATGTATCCGCACAGCAGGCACTGGAAGAGCGAGTTGAGGTCGTTCATGACGGTGATCCACACCGCATAGCTGATCGAAAAGGCATGATGCGTAAACGTCTCGTGCGCGCGGTACCACGACTGCGACTCGCCAAACGCCACCTGCAGCTCGTGCAGCTTGGCCGCCTGCGACGGAGACAGCACCACGTCCGGCGAGAGCGCCAGCGTGTGCTCATCATCCTCGTCGTCGCTTGTGTCGTAGTCGTCATCGTCGCGGCTCTCGCCTTCGTCGTCACGTCGCACGGCCGACAACTTGGACCCTGGCCTCCCGAGTTCACCGACGCTGCTGCCGTCTTGAGCATCAAGCGTTCCTGCTGCCTCTCCTGCTGCCTCTCCTGCTGGCTCCTTCTCGCCATTTTCGGCAGCTACTGTCTTGGCTTGATCCTTGCGCGACTTGCTGCGTCTCTTGGGCGCGACGACCGAGGGGATGTCGTTCTTGTCCGCCAGCCGCGGCAGGCCCTGCTTCTTCCGCAGCCGCCAAGTGAGATGCTGGTAGTACGCGATCCATCCCGCACGCCACGTGTCTCTTAACCTCCACGGAATCAGCCCCACGCCCGGGATCGTAAACAGCCCATTTTCGAACTGCGAGAACACCTCGACCCAAAAGTCCTTGTTCTTGCCGCCGTCGATGGCGCCCACGAGGAAGAGCACGAGCGCCGCGCCTCCGAACACCACCAGGAAGCCGTAGATGCCCGCAATCACGCCCACGGGCGTCTTGAGGAACGCCCACACGCCCTGCATGCCGCGCTTGAACTTCTGGCGCTTGGTGAGCAGCTCGTGTACGTACGCATCCAGATGCAGATCGTCCTCGTCCTCCTGGCTCGCCGCAGCCGCCGCCTTTGCCTTGAGCCGCGGAGACGCAAGCCGGCCCTCCTCCAGCTGCAGCTGCGCTTCGGTAGACGCCGCCGATGCATCCACCTCTTGCGCTGGAAGATCAATCACCGGTCGTCGGTCGTACAGTCCGGGAATGTTCGGGAAGATGAGCGAGTTGCCAATGTTGGAGAGATGACCCGCCGTGCTCACACCCGGATCCACCACCTCGAGCGTGTCAACAAGATACGCGCTGTGCTCGTCCAGCGACGACGTCTCTGTGCTTGGAGTAGTGTCCTCGGTGCGTGATTCCTGCGCGGTAAGGTCGACCGTCGAGCCGGGCTTGGTCTGGCGCTCGTTTTCCCTGGCCATGTCGCCGTACTTGCGGATGAGCGCCATGAACTTGGTCTCTTTGGCTTGCCCGTGCTGGCGCTCGCCCTCCTTCAGTGGATCCAGCGCGGCAATGCGACGCAGTCGTTCGGTGCGACGTCGCTTCTCGCGCTTCTCCACCTTGCGATGGTGCTTCTCGGCCATCCTACGTACGATGCCGTGGGCTGACGGCCTTCCGTGCCGGTGTCGTCGGTTGTCGTACAACGAGTCGTCATCGTCGTCGTCTTCATCGTCAGCGTGGCGATGACCGCGACTACGCTTTGCTTCAGCTGCCACTGCCTGAGCCGAGAGACGTGCAAGGTAGGATCCGCTCTCGGACGTGACGCTGCCCAGGTTCGTCGGTACTGGAGTCACGCTGGCCGCCGCACGGAAGCTGAGCGCGTCGGTGGAGGCCCGCTTGACCTCCGAGTTGAGAAACAGCTGCGCCTTGGCGAGCTTCTTTGCGTCTTCCGTGCGGCGTCTGCGCTCTTCCAGCGTCTTTTCCGCGTCCGGCGAAGGATCGGTGGGTGGATAGGTGAAGCCTGCGTCGGCCGATGGTGCTGCTTCAGCGTGTTTGTCGGTGGACGAGTCGGAGTCGGAGGACGAACTCGGTTGCGTGCCTGCCGAAGCGTTGCGCGCGCGCGGCACCGAGGCGGTGGCAGCAGCGGCTGTGGGCGAAGGGGTGGATGCGAAAGATGCGCGCCGCTGCTTTCGCAGGCGCATCGTACGATGGCGATGGTGTCGGTGCGGCATCTTGGGCAAGTGTATGCCGCTGAGATGGAGAGATGGTGGTTGCCAGATGGCGAGCAAGACAGCAAGGGCAAGCGCAGGCTAGCCCGAACGTGTTGATTCGGCCCGCCGCTTTCAGAGCAAAGGCTGGAACCCCCGGCCTAGCTGCATATGCACGACGCGCAGCAGTCGAAAATCCCAACGCAAATCAAAAATAAACGGCGCACGGCAGCTCACCTCAGGCGCGATTCTGCACAATTTGGTTGCGACGCTGCGCCTCCGTGTGGGTGTGCAGGGTCCCAGAACTCAGCCTGTGGGGCCACTCAACAGTCAAACGCCCATTTGATGCATTGGAGATCGCTTTCATTTCACCCTTCTTCTGCCATTGCTTGGACGTCTACGACGAGTCAGTTTCGGGTCGACGCACCCGCCTTGCGAGGCCGCGAGAAGCCTGCCGGTTCGCTCTTGGAGAGCGTGGTGGGCGCCTGGTCAACCACGCCGTCGAAACCCGTGCCTGCAAACTTGTGCCTCTCCTGCGAAAGCACCTCCTCGATCTCGCTCGAGACGTAGGCGTGCGTGAGGTCGTCGCGGTCCGATGCTTCGAGCTGCGGATTTGCGCCAATGCAAAAGCCAGTGTCAGTAGTTGGAACGACGGGTGTTTCGAACGAGCCGGCATTGGCGAGCACTTACCTTCTTGACGATGCGCATGCCCGAGAAGCTCTTGACGTGGTTGAGGATGATGAGCACGTTGCTCGAGTAGATCATGCGCGACTTGACGCCACTCGAAGCGGGACAGCAGTAGAGCATCGCCACCACGCTCTCTCCGGACGTGCGCATCGCCACATCGTCCAGCCGGTAAAAGGCGATGCGCGGGTCGTTGCTGCTCAACGCCGAGGGCAGATCAGCTGCCGGCACGAATCGCGGCGGCGACTCGAGCTCCACCGTCTCACTGCGCAGATCGATGGCCAACACCACCAGGTTCCACTCGGACGTGCCGGACGCCGTCGAAGCGAGCCCCTGGATAGCCTCCTGCACTCCATCGCCCCACTTGAATCCCAGCGCCGGCCCACCCGCCGCGCCCATGCCGCCGCTGCCATTGCCGTTGCCGTTGCCCGAAGCACGCTCCGTGGCCTGCAGCCGACGCAGCTCGGCAAGCTCCTCTTCGCGCTCCGTCAGCCCACCCCTGGAGGGCCCTGTGCCCGAGCCGACCGAGACGGAGCTCTTCTCTTGCGCAGCGGCCTTGGGCGCCGAGTCCTTCAAGCTGGCCTGGTCCAGGGAGGTGGGAAGCGTGGGTTGCGACAGCGAGCCTGCAGTCTGTGTCGCGGGAGTTGGTGGTTCCTGTGACGCCTTGGACTCGGACAGCTCCTGCTCGGCCGCCGACACCTTTGCCTCCGGCTGCTTCGAGTCTGTGGCGGATGCGACTTCGGCAGCCGCCGCCAGCGTCGAGCCGGATGGAACCGTGGGCTGCGAGAGGCTGTCGGTACGGCCTGCTGCTACGGCTGGCGTGCTGGGCTCTTCGGGCGCCTTGGTTTCAGACGCAAATTGCTTGGCATTGTCCGAGGTGGAGGAAGAAGCAGCGGGTTCGGCACTGCTCTGGACGGGCTCCGATGCTGCCTGGTCGTGACACTCCTCGGATGCAGGTGGGGAGGGGCTCTTGAATGCGGATGTAAACTCGTGCGAGTTGTAGCGCTTGGGCGCAGGCGGCGTCGAGAGACTGGGCAGGTCCGACTCGGGCACCGGCTTTGGGCGCTCCTCCGTGGCTGCGGCGGGTGCAGATTCTGTGCTGGAGACACCCGCTACGCCCGAGTTGGCCTCGAGGCTGGCAGGCTTGCTCGAGCTCGAGGCATCATCGTCGGTGGATCGGAGCGAGTTGGCCTTGCCGACTGAGCCAAAGTTCCTTCGCGCTCCTCCGACACCCGTGCCCGCAGCTTCCGAGGCGGCGAGACCTGCCGTCTTGAGCTGCGGGTTCTGGTAGTCGTGCTTGCGGCTGTTGCGCAGCTTGGTTGGCCACAAAAAGTCCCTCGGGTTGGCGCCAAAGATGGTCTCGAGGAAGTTGCGCTCGGTGAGGCCGGCCATGAGCGACGAGCGCGTGATGGCGTACTGCATCTTTTCCTTGATCTTGGCGCCATCCGGTTGGTACGAGCAGCAGAGCCACTCCCAGTCACCCGCCGCCGACTGGCTGTCGAGACGGTAGAGCGCATAGCCGCTGCGCTGCGGGTCGTTGGCAAAGAGCTTGGACAGGATAGGGATGAAGTCCTCCTTGTCGCTCACGTCCGGGCTCGAGGGCGGTGTCGACTGAACCAGCTTGAGGAAGCCGCCATCGTTCTGCACGAGGATGGCGCGCACCGACTGGTCTGCCTCTTTGAAGGCTTTCGCCAGGTCATCGGCGATGGGAATGTTGGACATGGTCAACGATGGCGACGATGGCGACGATGGCGATGATGGCGACGATGATGATGGAGGAAATAGGAGACAACTGGGCGCGNTGGGAATGTTGGACATGGTCAACGATGGCGACGATGGCGACGATGGCGATGATGGCGACGATGATGATGGAGGAAATAGGAGACAACTGGGCGCGTATAATTGAGGTGATGGTCTCGAAAGGACGGAAGCGCGTGGCCCTCTCTGAGTTGGTGTGTGTGTTGGAGCTGGCTGTGCTGCTGAGAGCTGTGCGCATGTGTCATGGCACGCGTCTTCGCACTTCCGATTGCCAACCGGCGCCAACGTGCATCACATCGATGTGCTGTGCCTCGGCGGCTCCTAAATTTGGTGTGGAGTAGAGTTGGGCCGTGCATCGAGCGACTCGACGGTGCGGGCCGTCTCGGGCGAGTCGCAAATTGTTAGGTTGCTGTTTTTACCGCCGTTGGGAAAATTCGAAAGGAAGAGCCGTACAGAAGCCGGTGTCCGGTTGAGGAGCTGCCCGAGAGGCGCTTGGACGCGTTGCCGAACCAGGGCAGAGGCTCCGGCTACTCACCGCTTGGCGAAGACCGACGAGGTGAAGCAAGCGCGCCCTGACCAATTTGCGGGGATAGTTCTCGGGCTGTGGTGACCACCACAGCTTCTTACTTCCTTTCTACCTCCTCCCAAGACATCCTTCCCCCCAATCTCTTTCACGACCGCCCCCAAAAGACATCGCCACCATGCCCAAGGATGCTGCCCCCGAAGTTATGCCCGAGCTCGGCGCCCAGCGCCTCTTCTCGCTCGACGGCAAGATCGCCCTGGTCACCGGCGGTGGCACGGGTATCGGCAAGATGATCGCCGCCACCTACATCCGTAACGGCGCCAAGGTGTACATCGCCAGTCGCAAGCTCGCTGATCTCGAAAAGGTGGCGACGCAGCTCTCCAAGCTCGCCCCTAGCGATCCCGAGGGCAAGAAGGGCCTCTGCGTCGCTCTCCAGGCCGACGTCGGTTCCAAGGCCGGCTGCGATGCGCTCGCCGAGCAGGTCAAGAAGGCCGAGTCGCGCCTCGACATCCTCGTCAACAACTCTGGCCTCACCTGGGGCGCCCCCATGGTCGACTTCCCCGAGCAGAAGGGCTGGGACAAGGTGTTTGACCTCAACGTCAAGAGCCAGTTCTACCTCACCGTCGCCCTCCTGCCCCTGCTCGAGAACGGCAAGAGCAACACCGAGCACGCCACCGTCCTCAACATCGCATCGACCGCTGCCATCGTCCCTCTCGCTGAGGGCGGCCTGTCTGCCCCCGGCAACGGCACTTACTCGTGTAGGTTGATTTCCGCACCCAACCAACAATGCTCCTTCGCGGGTGGATCCACTGACAGCGCTCTCCTTTCTGCTTTGCTTGTTCTTGTCCCACGTCAGACCAACCCTCGAAGGCGGCGTCGCTCCACCTCACCAAGGTGCTCGCCAACTCGCTCGCCGAAAAGTTCATCATGGTCAACGCCATCTGCCCCGGTGTCTTCCCTTCGCGCATGACCGCTTACGGCCTCGAGGAGAACCGCGACCTGCTCGAGGGCATCCAGCCCACCGGCCGCGTCGGCACGCCAGAGGACATTGGTGGTGTCGCCATGTTCTTCGCCTCGCGCGCAGGCGCCCACTGCACCGGAACCGGCATCGTCGTCGACGGCGGCCAGAGCATCCAATTCCAGCCCCGCCTCTAGTCTGCCTCCCGTGTCTCAGGAATGTAAAAGACCGCTTGCCGTCTCGGAATCAGGACCCCACATCGACGCTTCTTCATGCGTGAAGCCGTTTGAGATGGACGCAGGGTATGATTGGTGTGCGTGAAATATGCTAGTCCTGAACGTAACGACGACGCATTGTACGGTACTTTTTCAGCGAGTACAATGTCTCGGTTTCTGCTAGCGAGTCAATGGTCAGCAACAAGGCTGCTAGCAAGTTCAAGGCTGCGAGCTTACCCTTTTTGACGAATTCGGCCAGGTCGAGCTTGGCCTTGATCTCCTTGTCGTCGGTCAGGTGTGCGTTCTTGGCGAACATGCTGCGCAGCTTGCCCAAGAAGTTGTACTTGGGATCCGGATACTCCCTCCCCAGTCGATGGAGCTACCACAACATCAACGCATCACAGGAAGTGGCGCGAAAGGAAAAGCAAAGGGTGTGAGTCCTGTCGTTTCTTGGGAGGCAGCTCAGGATGGTTCCGTCATCTACTTCGAGCGGCGGCGGCGGCGGGCTCCCATGAACGACGTACCTCCTTGTACAGCCCGATGGCCCTTGCCCGCAAGGGGTGTCCGAGCGGAGGCATGATTGTGGAATCGCGAGTCCGTGTGATGAGGGTCAGTGTGGAGCTAAGTCAAGTGTCAACGGTGCGGCAAAGGACGAGCTTAGGTAGCCGGAACCCGCACTCACCCGCCTCCACTTTCCGCACCTCAAATTCACAGCGTTTCAAAAAAAGCACTCCAAAATGCGTCTAACAAAAAAAGAAGACCAACACTTTCATCCCATCTGTCTCTTCCGCACTACGACCTTACCGTCCCAGCGCACTTGGCAGCCATGGATCGCTTCGAGCAGGAGACCGAGATCGACGAGGCAACCAAGTCAGAGACCGCCACGGCGCTTGCCAAGTCTCGACAATTCCTCACCAACCGACTGCTGCCAGACCTCGAGCGCGCCAATCGCGACCACCAGAGCCTGGTCGCTCAGATCGACGAGTACAAGAAGCTGCGAGAAACCCTCCGCTCACTCGACACGCAGGAAGATCGTCTGAACGACGCAGCAGTCCGCTCCAAGGATGCCTCGTACCTGGCGGACATCGGTGCGGGTGTAGCAGCTCCGACAAAACTGTAAGTTCGCCCGTTCCCGCTCGACGCTGCCGGTAGCTGACTCGACCAACATCATGTGCGCATGGAACAGTATTCAGGACGAGAACCCCATCATCTCGCTAGGGCTAGCCAACTTTTATGCTCAGCTGACCAACCGAGAAGCAAGAGCCTTCATCACCAAGAAACTCACCTTGCTCGAAACGTAAGCTCCAGCCTCGCTTCGTTGTGTTCCGACCACAGTCTCACTCGAATTTGCCCCTTGATGCTCACCAGAAAACGCGATCGTGCAATCGACAAGCTGGCCCAGATCGAGGCACACATCCACCTCGTAAGTAGCGTCCGCGCTCAGCTTTGAGCCGACTCGACGACTTACGCCTTTCCCTTGGTTCCGTCTCGCAGACATCTACGTCCATCACACAGCTCGACAACTTGCATCGCGGCGGCTCAATTGTCGACGACCTATGACCTGGCTTTCACGATCAACAGCACTGCGTCGAATCAATCTGTAATTGTACCACTAAAAAACGAACGATCTTCGCTGTAGGCGTGCGTGCAAAGCTTCGGACTGCTTGTGGTGTGAGGGAGCGGGTGTGATCTGCATTCCCGCAGCTACGTACTCGTACGCCGAGTCAGGCTCAGGGTGCCGTTTCGATGAAGATGAAGGTAAGGTACGGCATCGGCTCAACGCTCTACACCGATCGAGGTCGTCTCTCGTGGACCGAAGCATTGGTCCTTTGTCTTGTATCACTAGCTGCAGTGCGAGGAAGAGCTCGGCAGACGCGAAGATCGTCCATCATCGTGAGAAGGTGTCGAGGCCTCGTTCCTAATGGGCGTCGAAGCCGCACACCGACCAGAGGAAGAAGCTACACGCCACTCAGGAGCCATTGCTGGAGACGACATCGCATCCTCTGCCGATCCGTTTGTGCGACTAAGGCTGCTAATGCTGCGACGGATTGCCGATCCCCTCAAACGAGGTGCTGATGGGGCAGGCCGAGGAGATCAGCTCCAGTCTCAGCTTTGTTGCCAGCCACGCGACTGCGCGAATCATTTCCGGTGCCAGCAATGTCTGCGGCCTTTTCGGGGTCAGGGCCGAACAACCTCTCGTAGAAAGAGACCTTGCTTAAAGCACGCGAGGATGGGACGTGGGTCGAGGCCGAATTGCGACATAACACCCAAGTGGCAGAAGGCAGATCCGTGATCGGCCTCTGGCGAGGTAGGACTTTTCTTTCGGGCATGAAGAGGCTCTTGAAGCCAGGCAGCTGCCTGGCGGCCGCCACGACGGCGCCCACGAGGTCGAGGGGAGCAATGAAGTGCACCATGACGTTGGTCACGACACCGCGGGAGGACTCGCGTTGGACCCATTCCCCATGATCGAAGGTCAAGACAACACGGGAGGACTTGCGTTCGACATAATCCACATGATCGAAGTACATGATAGCTCGAGCCTGAGATTTGAACTCATAGACCTGCTCGATCTGAATTTTGTGTCCGGTAAAAAGCCACACCGAAGGTATCGTATCGACGTCCAGGGTTCCAAAGTCCAGCGTCTGTTCAGTATTGGACTTGATGAAGGGCATGTTGTCGGACATCTTCGCGAGATTCGAGGAACGTCAAGAAGCGGTGTGGTGGGTGGGGGGCAAGCGGGGGCAGGAGGCTGCAAAGGAGGCTCAGTGGCTCAGACGGCCGCGTAAGAGCGAGACTGCGAACAAAATGATGTGGTGAATGAGAAGGAAGCGAGGTCAAGAGGCAGCGAAGGTTTATATGTGGTACAGACGAGTGGGCAAGTGCGGAAGTACGAGAAACTCCCGCAAAGGTCGAAAGCGGATCAGACGAGTGCGGAAGTGCGGAACTGCGAGACAAGGTTCCGCACAGCACGGACATCGGGCCGCCCTCGGGCGGAGTCAAGAAATATCGCCACGGATCGTCACCGAACCGAATGCGGTGAACGCCAGCGAGACAGAGCTCCATGCGAGCCAGACAAGCCAGCTACAAAGCCTGTAGCTCATGACGCCGATCGCCAGGAGGGCGAGACTCCGGCATCATCGGGTGAGCCTCGCCTTAGCCGCCCTACGGACGCACGAGAGCGTAGAGGCGTGATCCGCACCCGGTCGCAGGCTCAACTCCGGTCGCAGGCTCAGCTCGACGCCTGCCGATGCCCAGCATGCTCATCCGTCCGCCCGGCCGCCCGCCGCAACAGCTGCCCACCAGGCGCAGCCCGTCGGAGCCCAGCCTCGCAGCACGGCACACCCTCTGGAGAAGACGAAGACCAACGTCACGGACCGCCACTGGACCGACTGCGGTGGATGCGTGCAGGACGGAAAGGAGTGCGTGCCACCCGAGGCGAACACGAAAAGGAGGTGCCAACAATGCCGGGAGAAGAACCGAACGTGCAATTGCTCGTTCTGGATGGAGTCCGACGCCATCCGTTTGTACGACCGGCTGCTGGACCTCGGCTTCACCCTCGAGCAGATCGATCGCCGGGTCTGCGGGGCGTCTCCGCCTGGTGGCACCCTGGACAAGTGCAAAACGTACGACTTTCGAGGCGACGACACTGACGCGGACGACGATCTCGCTCCTCCTAGGGTGGGTCCTACAGCGAGCCGTTCGAGCCGACCGCTCGTCCAAGGGCCCGCAGCCGCGACCTGCAACCAGGTCGCCGGCGCTCTCACCGATAAGCAGAAGAGCGGAAGCCTCGACAAGATCAGCAACGCGTTCATCATGAAGTTGGTCCGGGCAGCCAACGCCGTGCAAACAAGTGGTTCTGAGAATGGTACTGAAAACTATCGCAAATAGAGCATCTTAAGGAAGCGAAGAAAGGCAAGAGAGGCAAGACCTCGGCTCGAAGAGCACCTAAGCCGAGACGGTCTGACGAACAAATTGCTGGTCGTGACTCTTTGTGAGCGTGGCCGAGTCAAGGATCTCGCCGTTGGTGGAGTGGATCATGTCGACCTTGAGCGAGTTCTTGTCGACAAAAGTGAGGCGGGCGTATCCGTTGTGCGAGTCGTCGACAAAGGCGTTGTAGGCCGGGATTGTACCCGCGCTCGAAAGGCCCTCGATGTTCCCGGCCGCGCCGGCAACAATGTGCCAAGGGGCTTTGGGGTTGTTGAGGCCGGCAGGGTCGACAGTGCCCTTGTACGTAGGCTGTTGACGTTGCAGATTGTGCACGTGACCAGCTACGAAGAGATCCACACCATATTGGTAGAAAATATCCTCGAACGCGGTCTGGCATTCGGAACAGATGTTGTCGCTCCCACCAGTCGAGTACCAAGGCCTGTGACCCAGAACGACCACCCAGGGTGTCACAGTACGGTCAACGGAGGCAAGGTCCGCCTTGAGGAAGTCAATCTGCTGTGCGGGACGGCCATACGGCCCGGCACCGAGGTTGGCGGTGTCGGGCGCCGAGGGGAAGTCGGTCTCGGTGTCGAGCGAGACAAAGTGCACCATACCGTAGTCGTACGAGTACCAGAAAGGCGGGAGAGCGAGTTTCTGTGCCGCCGTGGCATTGGACTGCGCGGCTGCCTCACTGCTCGCCGTTCCGAACGTGGTGGGATGGGTGGGGCCAAATCGAGCATTATAGTCGGTAAAGTTGTACTGACCAAGAGGGCAAGCGCCCTGGTAGTAAAAGACCTCCTTACACGCCGCCTCATGATTGCCAGGGGAAGCCATATAAGGCTTGTAGGCCGAGACAGCGCTGAGCTGGTTGAAGAAAAGCTCGGTGATGGCAGCATATGCGTCCTTACCATCGAGCAAATTTTGGGGACGAAGGTACCAGTCGTCTGCGTAGGCAAAGTCGCCAGGATGAACGACAAAGTCGTACTGGTCCGCCGACTGTACGAGCTGGTCGATGGTAGAGTGCGTCAAGCTGGGCGGGACAAAGGGGATGTCTCGCTTTTTGGTGGTGGTGTAACCATCGGCACCGTAGACGCCCATGTCGATGACTGCATTGACGGCGAAGCTGGACTGGTCTCCGGGCTTGTGTGCGCTCTTGAATGAGTTTGTGGTGGAGTTGGTGCTGTCAATCTTGTAGTAGTAGGTAGTGGCGGGTGCGAGGCCGGTGAGGAGGACGTTGTTGAACCATGTGCGCGAGGTCGGGTAGGTGGAGGAGTCGGACGAGCACGCGCGCTGGGTGAGGGACGTAGGCGAAGTGCCGTATGCCACGCAGGACTGTTCGAGCTTTTCGTACGTGTTCCAAGCGACCGAGACGGCGTTGAGCTCCTGGAAGGCCAGGCGGGTCTGGGTGGGCGTGGTCTTGTCCGTGGGGATATTGGGGTAGGTGTAGGCATTGGCGGCGGTAGCTGCCATCAGAGTCAGCACGCTGGTGAGTGTCAGTCCGGTCATAGTGAAGCTGTACCAATTGAGGCGGGAACAGACTAGAGACAAGACGACTAGATGAGAAGGACGAGGAGCGAATGGCGAGCAAGCTATTCGAAAAGGCGACTGCTTATAAGTGCGGCGAAGGTGCAGAGCAGGCCAGCCGCCGGCTGGAGTTCTTCCTGGCTCGACGAAGAAGCCGTGGCGATCTGCATGAATGCATGAGATGCCGAAGCTTCGAACGAGATGCGTGCAAGAAAGCGGCAATGCATCGTTGTAAATGAAGAGCGAGCGGATAGCGAGGTCCGCATTCTCACGCGCGATTCAAGCTCACGGCGCCGTTATGAGCAGGTCAGGATGCCGTTTCATAGAGTACAAGTACGGGGCAACTCAGCTCAGCTGAAGCGTAGGACCGTATGGAAGGTTCACACGTGCGTTGGCGCGGCAGGATGAGCATTGCGGGCGACCGGCGAAAAGATCTAGCTGCACGGTCAGCGACTATGAAATGAAGAAGATGCGGCGGCGAGCACGTTTAGCATGGTGCGCACGCTTCGTTCCTACGCTAGCTCGGATCACGATTCGCCGAATGAGAAGGAAAGGATCAGGAACACCAGGGCCGAGTCGATGGGAGAGAGGCAGGATGGGCACGTTCCATCGCTTCAGCGGCTCGCTTAAATTGACAGGTGCAAGGCGGAGCGGACGTGCAAAAGGCGCAAAAGGCGTTGAGCGGGATCTGCATCGGGAGAATACAAGCGCGTTTTGCCCCGATCGAAATATCTAGGGGTGTGATTTCTCGGAGAAAGGGCAGGTCCCTGTAGCTTAAAATTCGAGCGGGAAAAAAGGGTCCCACTGCACAGCACTGCACGGCACTGCATCTGGCGGCATCGGCCCGCCTCAAAGTTCGAGAGAGGTTGCGCGATGAGACCTCGAAAAGGCCGAGATCCAATCCAATTCGAACCACGCGCCCACGCCCAGCGCACTTGCCTTGCCCCGCACTCTGGCGGCGTGCTCGCAGCCAATCAGAAGCCAAAGCACGCAACCAATGCTTGGCTCCTCGCCGGGCGAAAGCGAGGAACCACAACGCTCCTCGGCCCTCTGCGAGATGCTTTCAACATGCTTGATGCGAGCAAGAGCTTATCGTACGCAATTAGCATGTGTTGATACAGTGGTACGCTCAAGCTCGAGAGCCGAGTCAGTGCCAAGGCCCCCCCTTGAACCCAATCTAAGGTTGAGATTAGCGCCATCTACAAGCAGGTCCGTGGCAACAAGGGAGCGCAGAGAGGTTGAGCGTATCGTGCGGCCACCTCCAATCGCCGCAGCAGGCACGTTGAGCTGGGCCCAGCCAAACTTAGAGGGAGAGTAGAGGGAGAGAGAGACACAGAGAGAGAAAGAGAGAGGGAGCCGATAGACTCGCGCGCGGCTCGAGCAGAGGGTGCCACAATTGGGCGTGGTGGACCCGTTTTTTCTCGAGTATACTCCCGCCGTGCTTTGCGGATAAGCAGAGTGGCGGAACGGAGCTTCCCGCGCTCGTCGGTGCTTTCGTGCGCCGCTCAACAGCGAGGTTCGGCTGTCCGAGAACGGCAACCCGCAACAGCCTCGCCCAGCCCCGCCTCGCTTCTTCCAAATACAGCAAGGCCTCGCACGCGAGCGTGGCGGCCCTCCTCCCTTTCTCCTCCAGGCACCGCCCTCGTCCCTCCATACAACTCGCCTCGCCTCGCCGTCACCCTCACCCTCTCTCCGACCATTCAACTCTGGCCTTGTCCACCACACCGACCCTAGATCCGGCACGCTGCTGGACGCTCAGCGTAGCATGGCCGCCGTCGCACCACCCCGTCATGCGCCTCTCGCCATGACCACTGCCGCTCCGTCCTCCTACAGCACAGCGCCGCTGCCGTCGCTACCCAACGCCGACGCAGCCTCGCAGCCCCCACGCCCACTGATCCGCACACCGCAGCCTCAGTCGGACGAACCTCGCCATCCGATTAAACGCAAATGGCGATCGCTCGTCAACTTCTTTGCGCTCCCCATCCGCGCCTACTACCTCGAACCGCCCGGAGAGGCCTACCGCGCAGAGCTCCGCGCAAGGAGAGCAAACATGTGGGACGAGAACGGCCTTCAGTACAACATTTGGCCGTGTCCCGCTTACACTGATCAAGTGGGCGACGACGAGATGGTGCTCTTCAAAGCCCAAGAAGAGGCCGAAGCCATCGCTGCAGCGCACGCCCAAGCCATGAGGAGGGACCAGCAAGCACACGCACAACAAGAGACCGACGACTCGAGCGAGGATGACGAAGACGAGCGCGCCCAAGAGCCTGTCGCCGTGTCCTCGGTGTGGCCCCAGACACCACCAGAAGGCGGACCCATGCGCGCATTCGGCATGCCGTTTGCGGAACCTTCGCCACGCTACGAACGCAGTGATCCGCTCGCTGTTGCCACGCCGCCCACTCGCCGGCGTGTCCGCACAGCGAGCAATGACGCTCTCACCGCACCGAACTTTGCCAACGGCATCACAATGTCCCGCCACACTTCCACTCCGCTCTCTGCCTCCTCTCCCGCTCCGGGAGCTGCGGCGTCGTTCTTGTCGCGCAGATCGCGCGCGCAGTCGAGCGCAACTCGTCCTTCCACCAGCGCTTCAGGGCGCACCATCTCGGAACCACTCAGCTGGACCCTGGTGCGCTCCCAGTACTCGTACCCCAAGCGTGGCCTCACCGCTCAGCAGCTCTCGTTCCTCAGCTCCGTAGAGAGCCTCGGCCGATTCGGCGTGCCTCTTTCCGCCGCGCCCTCCGCAGCACCCTCCCCAGCATACGAACACAGCCCCTCGGCCACAGATTACGGCTTTCCCACCGTCAATTCCCGTTCATGACAGTTCCTATCATCTCGACTCACGCCTACTTTCCGTCTCGTCTCTTTTACATCTCGTCATCGCATGCATCCACTTCCCGTTCTCTGTGTCGCATCTCCGCATGTCTCTCGTCCCTCGTTGCGCTGTATTCAATCTCACACTTTCGCATTCCGCTCTTGTCCGCACGGTATAAACGTCTGAATTAGGCCTCGGGGTATATTTGAGTGGGAAAGGGTTAGAAGATGCGACCCGAGCCTCTGCAGCGGTAGCACGTTTCGTCTCCGAACCAGAAGCTTTCCGTCATGCCTCGGCCTCCGCACTCGAAGCACAGGCGGCCGCCGATGCGCGGGTCGCCCGGCATCACCACCAGCGCTCCAGGCGGTGGAGGCCGCGCTCCATAAAACGCCTGCGCAGGCTGCACCGACACGTAGGGATTGGGACCGCCGGGGTTGGGTCCAAACCCACCTACGAATCCTCCAGGCGGCCCGGCATGTGCGCCGTACCCGTACCCACCCGGAGCACCATGCGGTGGGCCGTGTGGAGGACGAGGCTGGGGCGGAGACCCTGGATGACCCGGGGGTGGCATGGGTGGAGGCACGTACTGCGACGGCAGGCGCTCGTTGGACGATACATTGCTCGCATCCTGGTAGTTGGGCGGTACATCCGACATGCGCCCTCCCTCCGTCTCGGCATCCACCGTCGGCGTAGTAGGCGTTCGCGGTGGCCTCGCCGCTGCTGTTGATACAGGTCCGGGTGCATGCGAGGGTGGAGCGTACCCTCCATACCCACCGTACGCTTGCGCGGGTGGCGGAGGTCGACCACCCGCACCCGGGTATCCTCCGGGCACATGCCCATGGCTCGGCCGTGGCGGCATACCGGATGGTCCAGCAAGCACGGGCAGAGGCTTCTGAAAATTGCTCGTCGCGTCGTTGAGGCCCACCGAGTAACTCATGGCCGAGGTGTACGTCTTGCCGTACTTGTCCCAGCAGCTCTTGTGCGCATTGTTCGGGTCGCCGTGCTTGTATCCAGTGTCGTGGCACTTGGGACATCCAGGCCAGTTGCGCGGATACACGAGCAGCTTGCCTTTGCGCAGCAGCGGCTGCCCGGGAGTCGGCACCGTCGTGGGGCGATACGAGTCGTTCGGACGCACACTGCTCGGCCGCTGGCTGGACGAAGACGAGGAGGGTGGTGGAGGACCCGTAGGCGGCGTGTACACCGACGGCGAGGTGAGCGGAGGCGACAGCGGGGCTGCGTTGGATGAATGCCGCGAATGTCGCGAGTGATGCGATTCGATACTCGGTCGGCTTGGCTCGGCCATACTCGGCGTCACTGGAGGCGATGTCGTGCTCGGCGCAGCATAAGTCCGCGGCGGAAGTGCGGGTGTTGACGAAGCGGTTGTATTAGCTGACGCTGCTCCGCCAGTAGGCTGCGGCGACACCGCGTTCAAGAAAGGATTGGTGCTGGGTGTTTGCTGCGCCAAGCTAGCCGTCGCGGAAGAAGCGGCGTGAACGCTGGGCCTCTGCTCCTCCGGGGCGAGGAATGGATTGTGCGACGCACTTGCGGCATTCGACGTGTTTTGCGGCGACACTACGCTGGCAGCACCCGCGCCTGTGCTGAATCCATTGGAGGGCGTTGTGACTGCCGAGCTGGTGGCCGCGCTGGACGTGGGCGGGGCCGAAGATGGCGCGGCGTGTGCTGATGCCTCGAGCGGCTCGTAAGGCGGCGGAGGCTCGTCCGGGAGCGGATCCAGGTCTGGTTCGTTGCGTGACATGGTGCCCACAGCTGTCGCGCCGAGATGCTGCGCTGCGCAGGATACGAGGATGGTGGTCGACAACTGCGTTGCGGAGACCTACATCCGCACCCGTTGGACTGTGCACCGGCTCAGCAGCACAGCCTGCAGTCGGCTCTTGGCACGGCAGAGCCCTCGGTCGCAGCTTCCGAACCGCAATTTCCGCACATGTGGAGATTCCGCCCAAAAAATCACAGATCCCGGGCAAGACCCGAGCTGAAGCCGTTTATGCGAAGTCTTCTTCTGACTCCCTGTCCATCTTGATTCGTTCGGATTCGTTCGGAACGTTATCAGACACCATCATCGCCGCAGGCCCTTCGCAGAAGGCTCACAATCAACTGTAAGTCGCATCGTCGAGTGCCCGACCGCTTTGGGAGTCAACGCGAGGACATTGGCGCCATGTCGGTCACACTCCACACCACGCTCGGTGACATCAAAGTAAGTGCCTCAATCTCTTCTCTGTAACCCTCAGTCGTGCGTATCCTGATCCTCAACCTTTCGCGATATTTGTTCAGGTCGAGGTCTTCTGCGAGACCACTCCGCGAGCGGCCGAAAACTTCCTCGGCCACTGTGCAGCCGGCACGTACGACGATGTCAAGTGGCACCGCAACATCAAGACGTTCATGATCCAGACTGGCGATCCCACGGGCACAGGCAAGGGCGGTCANGGCCACTGTGCAGCCGGCACGTACGACGATGTCAAGTGGCACCGCAACATCAAGACGTTCATGATCCAGACTGGCGATCCCACGGGCACAGGCAAGGGCGGTCAGTCCATATGGGGCAAGCCATTTGCGGATGAGATTCGCTCCACGCTCAAGTTCGACCGCAGGGGCGTGGTCGCCTGCGCTAATGCTGGCCCCGATACCAACAAGTCCCAATTCTTCATCACGTACGCCAAGCATCCCCATCTGGACGGCAAGTACACCATCATTGGCAAGGTCATCGACGGCGCCGAAGACGGCGGGACTCTCGATGCCATGGAGGCGGTACCTGTCGACGCCAAAAACAGGCCCACGACCGAAATTCGCATGACCGGCGTCACGATCCACGCCAACCCTCTCGCCCTCAAGTCAATAGGCAAGTGAAGCGGAAGAGAAGTTCAAACGAGTGAATCTGTCTACAAGGGAAGGGTGTCAATCAGCTGTCACCAGTGAACGAGTGACCAAGGCAAGAAGGGTGACGCTACCCACGCAAGATCAAATGCGCGAAAAGCGGCAGAGCCAGGAGACGGGACATCGACATCAGATGTGCGCAGCGGTGCCTGCCGCTACGCCATTGCCGAACCCGTTGGTTCCGAAGCCCGTCGTTCCAGCCTGGTCAGCCGCCACGTTCAGCGCCGAAGGAGAGACGTAGCCGACGCCTCCGTCCTGGATCACCTGGGCCCCGCCACCAGCGGCAGCGCCCGCTCCCGTACCCGCGCCTGCCGCTGTCTGCGATGCGGCGCGTTGCTGAAGCCACGCCAAGTACTCTGGATCCAAGTGGATCTGACCTCGATCGTCGACCACCATCCACGGATACTGCTTCAGGAACTGGGTCTTCGGAATAGGCTGCGACCAGCCCTGAGGAAGCACCCACGTAGCTTGACCACAAACGAGACAAGCGTCCAACACGGATCAGTCAAATACGTCGCTCGGTACAACTGCGATCCATCGCGCCGAGACATCCTACTTACGATTGCGGCAGAGGCCCTTCTCGGTCGCGTGCGTGTGGCCAAGCGCATTGTCGATGAAGTTGCGCTTTCGCAGATTCTTCTGTAGCATCTGTCCCGTAGCCGGATCGACAGGCACAAGGCGACCCGTATCCGTGCAAAAGTAGTTGTGCGTGAAATGGCTCAGGTAAAGGTCCTTGAGCTCGCCACCCAGGTTGCGCTTGTCCATCGCCTTGTCTCCGAACGGAAGCGCACGTCGTTGCTGCAGCGCCAGGCTGCTGTCGACAAGGCTCAGAGCCAAGACGAGGGCGACGAGAATACAAGGGTGGCCGATCATCTTCAATCGAACCGTGGCAGGAGTCGGGTGAAAATGCGAGCGTGGTGGTGGTAGAGCCGAGAGCATGAGCGCATTGCGAACGCAGGCGGCGACAACGTGACTGAACCCACCACTGCATCACATGCGAGCGCCCACTCAGTGCCTTCATCATGCTCTCATCCCCTCCAGGTACATGCACTCTCCGAACCTGTGCCCGTTGGTGGGGACAAGTGCAGCTTCATATCAGCGGCCGCCCCCGATCCTAAGGGCTCCCGATCTACTATCGGGCTTCGGCGACTCGATTTAATTTTTTTTGGTGAGCGTCATCGGAAGAATGGGCCGCCTGAGTGGAGGCAGCGGCTGCAGAAAAGACTGTCTTATGAAGCTAAGCTGGTCTCCCTTTGTTCCGCACCACCTCGACAAGGGTCACCATGTTCCGCTAAGGCACCACGCCATCGAGGCGACTTCCCCACTGCGCTATAGAGGGACATACTCACACAACATGTCGCTACCCTACTGCCTTGCGTCGGCATCCCGACGAAACGCACGGCTGGCGCTGTGCAATCAAGCAGTCAGGCGGCCTCTCGGCGACAGGTGCGGCCCGATTCTGGAAGCAAGGTGCGTTGCATCATCGAGTCGCAGCAGTGCACAGGTTCAGGACGAAGTCAAGCAGGATCGAAGGGAGATATCGAAGCTGTCGCCCGAGGAAGACGAGCTTAAGCTCGGCAAGCGCGCACGCAAGGCCGTCCGCGCTCGTCAACGCAAGCACGAGGAACGCGTACTTCGCGAAGCCAGAAACACGGCCAGGGCCGAGAAGCGTGCAGAAAAAGCACGGACAGCGTCTGCCATCGATAACGATGCCGGTACTTTCACCGTACCAAGATCACCAATACTGAAGGTCAGGCACATGCTGCGCGACGAAGAAGCCTCTCCACACAGATCACCGGCACAAGCGGATGCATCGCAGGAATGGAGACAGCAGGCGAGGTCTGGTGACATTTCGTCTCCAACGCAGGGCTGGAATGGCACGCTCTTCAGCAGCCACATCTCTGCGCTCCTCAGAGGATTCGGCACGCTGCCAAACACCCCGCCCGTCCAAGCGGTCGCACTGACTGGTCAAGATGCGCTGCCGCAACGCGAGGCCACTTCAACAAAAGCACGGAATGATGACGCGTCAGAGTCGACGTCCGCAGCTCCAAAGACAAGCCCGTCAAGCATGACCAAGTCGGAGCGCATGGAGTCGCAGGCGCGCGTCATCTTCCGTGCCATCCGCGATGCGCGCGAGCGCGGCATGATCGACGAGGACGAGTCCTTCTTCTACCCGTACCCCGAGGGCGTACCGCCCAAAGACCAGCACGGCAAAGATACGGTGTGGCTCAATCTCGGCGCCGATCCGGAAGCATGGGGTCGCGAGATTCCGACTGTCAAAGATCGGTGGCTAGAGGTGCTCTCGCTCGGCCTGGCCAAGGAGATCACCCCGCAATCCGAGATCAGACGTCCGATGGGCACAGAAGAAGAGGCAGATGCAGCCGAGCAACTTGCGTCGCAAGATCCACTCGCCTTTGAGGATCTTGTCGAGGACTACGACTTGGAAGATCACGAGCGACTGGAGCAGCTCGGCGATTCAATCGTCAACATGTCGTCGCGCCTGTTGGCGTATCAGTCGTTCCCGGACGTCAACGAGGGCTCTTTGACGAGGCTGTCCAACTATCCGACGCAGAACAACTTTCTCGCTCTGCTGTTCCAGGAGTGCGGCCTTGCAGCCAGGCGAGACGAGCTGCGAGACGAGCTGCGAGGGGCGCCGGAAGTCGATGCCCAAGACGCCGGAGATGGGCACCCCAACGACACGGCGGTCAAGATGGCAGCAAAGGCGCTCGAGGGCGCGGAAGAGAAAGAGCAGCTGCCGTCACTGATCAAGCGCGATGCTGACATGTTTGAAGCGTATGCGGCCGCCGTGTTCCTCAGCCACGGTAACGACTTCAACGTGGTGCATGCTTGGCTCAGTCATCTCTTCCGGCCGTTCCAGGACCAGGCATATCGATTCATGGTGCAGCGCAGCGAAGCGCTGGCCAAGCTGCAGGCCGCACGTGCTGCCGATGCAAATGCTTCGTCCTCTTCGTCGTTTTCGTTCCTCAATCGGGGCTCGTTGACGCCGTCTGCGACCAACATCGCAGCCGATGGGTTGGGGATCAAATCGGCCTCGGTCGATCCGTCGTCGGTATCTCTGACTGCGCTGTTCCCAGACTTTATGCGTGCAGAGAAATCGACGTCGCCCATTCCGACGCATGTGCTGCAGGGAGGCAGCGAGGCATTCATCACTGACGAATTCCTCACGGTCGCAGCACGCGCGCGGAGGCAGCGGGAAGAACGTCTGCGCGAGGAGCTGCGGCTGCAGGACCAGCGCGAGCTGATGAACATGGGCTGGTTCCGCAAGGGCTTCCTCAACCTCAGCAAGGGCTTCCGGCAGTACGTGATGGGCAAAGACGTGGTGCGCGAGGAGGAGCTGCGCATGCGCGAGCGCATCCACCAGCAGCGCGGGCTCAGCGAAAAGGACCGAGAGCGCCTGCGCGCGCGCGAACGCAGCAACGCCGGCATCTCGATCAAGAGCACGGGCAGCAAGACGCGCACAAAGATCACTGGCATTCAAGAACATGCTCCGTTCAAGAAGGAGTGATTGCAATACTAGTACCATCTTAGAGTCGGTGCCCCTGTGATGAAGGTGCACGAGGTCTGAGGCCGCTTGAGTGTGTGGAGAAAGCCGGGGAGGTGACCGCCAAATCCGACTGGAGCGATGAGGGCGCGCCAACGGCTCGGAATTGTACGCCTGGATTTCCCCCGCATTTTGGACCGAGCGGCCGATGTGGGCCGTGCTGCCGACCGACCCAGTGGACGGGGTCTGTGAGCGAAGGAAGAAGTGTCGACCACCTGTTCCGATCTTCCATCCACTCGACGCTGACCTCTATACTTTAGCGATCACGATGCTTCCCTCTGCACGACTTGCTTTCCGCCACACGCTGCGCCGCAGCACCGCCTCGTCCTCCGCGGGCGGGGTGCACGACCGCAGCAAGACGATCGGTTTCATCGGACTCGGCGCCATGGGCAAGGAGATGGCCAACAATCTGCTCACCAAGACGATGGCTGCCAACTCGGATGCTGCCGTGACGTTTGTGGTGCACGATACTTTCGAGCAGTCCATCACGCGCTTTCTTACCGCCAACACCTCGCTGCATCCGAAGCGCAATATCATCGCCGCCTCTTCGCCGGCTGGAATCGCCAAGTTGTCGGGGACGATTGTGACCATGCTGCCGTCGTCGCCGCAGGTGGAGCAGGTGTACACGCAGGAGAACGGCATCCTCGAAGGACTCGAATCGTACGCCTCTTCCAACGACCCGCAGGCTTCGACGCTCTGCATTGACTGCACCACGCTCGATCCCGCTGTTGCTGTTGAGACGGCGGCCAAGATCAAGAACGCCAACTCGCACGGTGTGTTTGACATGATCGACGCACCCGTCTCCGGCGGTGTTGTCGGCGCGAATGCCGGTACTCTCAGCTTCATGGTTGGTTCCGATTCGACCGAATCGTTCCAGCGCGCCGAGCCCTACCTGAGCCTCATGGGCTCTCGCTCGATCCACTGCGGTAAGAACGGCAACGGTCTCATCGCCAAGATCGCCAACAATCTGCTGCTTGGTATCTCGATGCTCGGTGTGACCGAGGCGATGCTGCTGGGCACTGCGCACGGTCTGCCACCTTCAGTCCTGGCGGGGATCATCAACACGTCAACGGGCAAATGCTGGTCGTCCGAAGTCAACAACCCCTGCCCCGGAGCCCTCGAGGGCACAAAGTACTCGCCTCCCGCCGACCGAGACTACGAAGGCGGTTTCGCAGCGCGTCTTATGGCAAAGGACCTCAAACTCGCCATGAACACGGCCAAACTTGAAGGCGTTCCTACGCCACTCGGTCAACTCACCGCAAGCATCTACGAGGCGCTGGGTGGAAACGACGAGTACATGAACAAAGACTTTGCCGTCGCTTTCAAGGCCCTCCAGGCTGCTGTTGGCCGCGAAGAGTTCCGTCAGGGCCGCGAAAAGGTCTAACCTAGCAAACGCTAACTTTCACGCTCCACAACACGCTATCCGCCTCCACATGCCGAGTTCAATGTAATCCCACGCGCACCTTCTTCGTGTCTCAGGCTGGCGACTCAAAGCTCACAACAGATGGCGCAGACTGAAAAAGAAAGTGGCTGGTGTATCCGCCGGGCCGGAATGCTTGGCTCCGGGCGTGATGTGTGATTGGAATAAGTGGTGTAGAGGGTATGCAAGATGCAAAGGGTACAAGTACATAGAGCGCGCAATGCGCTGTATCGGGGGTATCATATGCCACAACGACTAGCGCCAGCGCTCAAAAGCGTCGAAGCGAGAGGCCAGTCTCGGCAGCCTGATTGAAGTAGGCCTGGAGCTCGGATTGGCGCTGGAGCTCTTCGTCGTGCTCCTGCCTTGCGGTGCGCTGAACAAGTGCGTCGTAGTCCGAAACCTTGGTCACCTGGCGCGAGATGGCGGGCGAGGTGTTGGCGGACGAAGCCGCCGAGACGGGGTGGAGCGAGGCAAAGCCATGCGAGGTGAAGGATGAGCGACGCGAGCTGGCCGGAGTGGAGAAGGCCGAGTCGGAGCCGGTGTGGCTGTCCTTGCGGCGCTTGTTGAGCGAGGTCCTGCGCTTAAACACCTTGAGGAAGTCGAGGTGGAGCGAAGAGGACGAATGCGATCCAGAGGATGCAGATGCAGATGCAGCAGCCGAGTGCGAGGTGCCAGTGATGGGAGCTGCGACGTCGTCCGAGTCTTGCGTCAGGGTCTGCAGCATGGCGTGGCCGTGCACGTCGGCGCGGCGGCGCGAGTGCGAGTGGGAGCGCGAGGCGGTGTGGTGGTGTGAAGAGCTGGCGTGGTTGTGACGATATGTGGAGCCAGCGGGTGCAGTTGGCAAGAGGAAGACAGGCGAGAGCGATGGCGAGGCGGTGGCACCCATGACGGGCGACGACGGTGCAGACGAGCGCACCTCCTCCTCGTAGAGATCGCTGAAGGTGAGATATTGGTAGGGCATGGTGGCCATGTGTCGATGAGAGAAAGCCGAAGTGATGAGAATGCGGGCTGAAGCGATGGCGAATGCGGGGAAGAATATATATGCGCCGTGCGGTGGTGCTGCTGAGGTGGGCTGGTGGAGGCGAGGCAAGGGTTCCGCCTGGCTGGTGTAGAGGGTAATGCGGGGTCCGTGACTCGGGAATGGTATGCAAACGTCACTGTGGGGCGCTGCTTGTAGAGAAGTGCGTGAGTGCGGTAGGTCGTGTATGGTAAGGAAGATGAAAGGAGCGAGTCATGGGAGCGAGGAGATAGTAGGCGATGCTCAGTCGGCGCGGCGCTTAGCGGAAGGTGTGATAGCCGTTGGGTGACGTGCCGGCAAAAAAAAGAAAGAAAAAGCCGTCGAGTGAAAGGGGCTTTGAAGATTCCTCCGGCCCTTACCGCCGAAGGGTCGCCCAAGCGATGATCAACACTGCTGCTGCTGTGCAAAGGGTCTTGGCCGGCTTTCTCAGCAGCTCAGCTCAGCGCCCGGAAAAAGAAAAAGGCAAAACCCGAAAATCTGTGTTCGGTGAAATTCGTGCTTAACTCGGGTGGGCACGCGTCAAGCCGTCTAAGCGTCCATGACACTCTGGCTCTGACTAGGCCAGGGTTGACTCGATTCCACGGAGGTGGAACGCGTCGCCACACACACACACACACCTCCTGCATAGCGCGACCGCTTTGATCCCGAAATCATGCCCGAAATCGCGTCCGATCCATTGCCCGCTCCGGACATACTGGGCTCCACTCAGCCGGGCCCGCTGGGACCGGTCCCGCCAAGTTGAACGAAAAAGTCCGAAGCGTGCCACCCACCTCGTCATCGCCTTTTTTCACAACATCCGGCCTCCGCGGAAGTGGATTGCCGCACCATCGCCACCGATACGCACGGAATGTTACGAGCCATTGTGACTTGTCGCACGGAATGCTGACTGGCAGGGCCCCAATGCGACGAAAGCGCCAATCCAACAATGGTGTTGGCGCACGTTGTGGGCGCCCTATCGATGCGGCTGTGGGTGGGTGCGGCGCATGCAGGTCGGCGATTTGCGAAACTTTGCCTTCATCCCTGCAGCTGCCAGGGCGGCGCGTGCTGCACTACCGATTCTTTCCGATGCTCGGCGCGGATCGCGACCACGCCTATTCGACCTAACAATCGGTACTTTGACCGGCTAATGGTTGCAACTCGACCGGCGGCAACGAGTCTCGGGGCTTAGCGCCGAAGCCTCGCTTGCGACTTTGGCCTCGACCGGCTCCCCGGCACACTTTACTTCCGTGGACCGGAGCTCCGGCTGTAGTAGCATAGCGTGGGTGGTATCGTCATGTGATGCTTCAAGTGTGTTGCTCAAAAGTTGTCTTGAGTCCTGACTGTCATTGTGTGGTGATGAACGGAAGGATCCTTCAAAGCTCGAATCGCTGCGAATATCTTCGGTCATGTTAGGCCTCTGGCCTTGAGTTACAGCTGTCAGACCGTAATGATTCAACAGATTACTTGATTTTCCACGAGCCAGCTACTTCTTTTCAACCTGCTCACCTCCTGAGCCCGTCTGCTCTGATGACCAAGGCATCAACGGGAAGCCGCAAAGCCATCGGCTATGGAAGAAGTGCAGGTCTGTCGTCACTTTTCATTGAAGAAAGCCCGTGGACAGTATATCTGGCGTGCAATAGGATGCTTTATAATATGTATGCGACGACCACTGTGCAAGTCAGGTGATCGAGTGCATAGAACTTCGATGTCTGCTTTTCTACCGAGCAAGCTTCCAGTGGCGAACTTCTGCAGTTCGACCAATCAGCGGCGAAGCAGTGAAGAGCCGCGAGACAGCTCGAGATGACCTCGGCTCGAGATCTGCTAGCTTCGGTGGCTTATCTGATTAGTGCAAATCGAGCACCAAGTCCACGCAGAGCCGAGACTTGCCGCATGTCCACTCTCTCCTCTGGAAGAGGTGCAGTCTTGTGACTCATGCACGAGACAGTGCGGGTGAAAGTCGATTGGGCACGGATGGTGCGGCGACCTCCATGCCAAGTCATCGAGCCAGCTTGCGGCCAATCAGATCCCTTGGCTCGCAGTTGAGAGGCGCTCTACCAGCTGAAAAAGCAAAGAAGCGCTTGTTCCTTCTCGCACGCAAACGCGCTGCAGGCGTTGCGAGTGGGCAGGGAGCGGCAGCAAGCCGAGCAAATGGGCGGCTGCGGGACTGTCGTCGCCTCAAAGTTAATCTGATAAAGAAAAATCGGCCCTCCCAGGGACCCTCGCGGATTCAGCGGCTCTGCACCAGTCTGCGTCGAGCCAGTCCGAAATTCGCTTCCCTGCTGCCCTTCCGCACGGTGCTCAGTCTAAGTGTCGCTGCCGCTGCCGCGTTCGCCTCGACCCTCAACTGACTCGGTCCACCCCATCCCAGCCTGTTCCTTGGCATTCATCCATCATCCCCAGACCTCATCTTTCTTCCAACTTTCATTGCCATCATCATTGCCGCTGCTCTGACCTCAGACGCCGCCCCTCGTCACACTCGCACGTGTGCGCGCATCACTCACAACATTGGGTCGTGAGAGCTTGCGCGTGCGAAGCCTAGTCAGCCTCGATTCAAGCTTTCTCCGCTTCCGCAGTCAAGTCTTTTACTTCATCAAAATCCAGCTGAGCTCGAGTGGATCATTGACACCATGTCATCAGCATCTACGGCTTCTCTTCTGCCTTCTCCCGGCCCATCATCCGCTTCCATCTCATCACCTAGGAGCGTTGCACCGAGGCTTGCTGCGTCGCCCTCGTCTTCTTCCCTTTCCTCCATCAAGCCCGCGCAGCCCAGGAGTCATAGCTCGAGGATCGAACCCTCCCCTCTAGCTTCTGCTGGTCAAGCGCTCAGAGCTGCTCCGTCCGCTCCTGCAACGTCGTCGCAATCGCCAGTCAAGCGCAAACTGTCAACATCGAATCCGAGCCTGGCAGCTGCTTCGATTGCCCCTGCGGCCACAGCGGCTCCTTCGGTTCCCATAATCAAGAAGGACACCAGCGGTCCACTCGTTCAGCCATCCAAGGAATGGGTCCTCCCTGCTCGCGCAAAGCCCGGTCGCAAGCCATCCGAGACCGAGCCCCTCACCAAACGCAAGGCCCAAAATCGCGCTTCACAGCGCGCTTTCCGAGAGCGCAAGCAGTCCTACCTCGCAGACCTTGAAGCAAAGGTCGCTGCCTACGAAGCTGCCGAGATCGACCGCAGTGTCGAGATCCAGAAGGTCGCCCAGAAGCTCAGCTCGGAAAACGACACTCTCAAGAAGGAGCTTGCCGTCTGGAGGGACAAGTATGCGCAGCTTGAGAAGCTCCTCATGCACATCCGTGCTACCGGAAGAGTACCCAACGTCGTGCCAAGCGTCAAGTCAGGGCCCGGCTGCAAGGCTCCCGCACACGAAAAGTCAGGCGTTGTTCCGAAGCGGGGCGTTCTCGTCGCGCCAGGGACCAAGCCCAGCAAGGACAAAGACCGTAGCGCCGGCGGCGTCCGCTTCGCCGAAGACTCGCCATCTCAGGCGCAATCGTCTCCCGCAGAGTCTCCGGCTGCTTCTGTGCCGCTTCGTCGTCGTCCCTCTGCCACTTCTTCTGCCTCTCCTCAAGTCAGTTCGTCAGTGGTGTCTGCCACTTCCCCGACAGGCACGTCTGCAAGCTCAGCTACCGCGTCTGGCCCTGTTCAGGTGAACATCGAGAAGCCAGTTTCAATCACATCGGCGCCACTACCCAAAGGCGTCAAGCCTCCTCTTTGGTCGTTCGAACAGCCTCATCCATCTTCATCGTCCGTCGGCCACGACGCCAAGTCTGACAAGACATCTTCGCTCTCCTCGCCCTCGTTGCTTCCAGAAGGCAAACACCTTTCGGTCGACGGTGGATGTGGATTCTGCACCGAGGCTTCACCCTGCGTGTGTGCAGACGACTTCTTGGATCTCCCCTCGGACTCGCAGCCGTCGCACATTGCCGTTACCAGCGATGTTCCGTCAGCCGTTCCCCTACCCAAGCACTCGAACGCCTCGACATCCTCTTCGAGTACTTCTGCCACAAGTACGGCGAGGAGGATGAGCATTGGCTCGCTCACCCACGCGAAGGATGTCAACCTCGACCAGCGCAAGCGCGGAGCAGGCAAACTGTGGTACACTGTCAATCAGCCAGACTCGCCTCCCCGGGCACCCACCACAGATGGTACCGCTGCTCCGCTCAAGATTCGACGACCGACATCCTCGTCGAAAGCTGGAAAGAAGCTGTGGGCCCTGGCTCCTGCCGTCGAGCCGGTGTGCACGGGCGACCCTAGCACTTGTGGCGCTTGTCAGACTGATCCCGGTCTCGCTGCGTTCTGCGAGGCCGTGACAACGGCTGCGTCTGCACCTTCATCATCAACTTCCACTACTCCTCCGAGCGGCGTTTCGGCTTCACCTACACGCCCGGGTATGCTTCGCTCCGGTACGACGGGTCGACTTGGTCCATCGTCTGTATATGCTTCCACGGCGCAAACGGGCGGCGAGACGATTCCGTCGGCGTGGCGCCAGATCCGCTCGCACCCGCGATTCGCACAGTGGCAGGGCGGACTGGACCTTCTCGCCGAAGTGGTGAGCAAGCGCAGCGGAAATGTGCGCTCGCCTCTCCTCTCCAATCGTTCGCGCGAAGATTCGGTCGAGTTTGAACCACCGACTTCGGCGACGGCGACGACTTCGATGGCGACTAGCAACGACCGTGCCACGTCCAAGCCACTTCTCCTGCACACGGCCTCTGATACTACCATCCATGCTCCGTCGCCTGTCAAGCGCGAGCAACGCGAGGAGGATGAAGAAAGCAGGGACGCAAAGAGGAGACGCATCGTCGTGGACAGAGAGGCTGTGCAGGAAGCCCTCGCGCTCCTCGACGCCGGCACTGCAGCTCAACCCCGCGTCGGTCCTGCTGGCGTAGTGGCATCGCCGAAGGATGAGCCGTGTCCGTGCCCCTGGAGGCCAGGAGACAAGCACTCACATTAAGCTATCTGTATCTCGTCCGACTATCGCTTGCATTCAGTCTGTATCGTAGCATGTTTGTCAATGTGATCTTGATCGTGTCCAGGTGTCGTCGCCATGCTGGTGTTTCCCCGTCTCATTCCGCTCACATCGCTGCTCCGAGTGTTCGCACTGCAGTCATTCTATCAAAGGTACATCGATTGTGGAAGAGAAAGTTTTGTGTGTGTAATGAACGTGGATGAGCGAGGGCTTACTGCCAAAGATCGAAAAAGGGACCTGGAGAACAGCTCGTGTCTGAAGCCCAGCTCTAAAGACACTGAAGTGCGCATTTTGAAGATGATGGAAGGAGGATTGAGGTGGCTTCTTGACTGTTTGCGATCAGAACGAGTCTACTGCCTTTGTCGAGATGTGCGGGCGGCAGAACCGGTCTCGCCTTCGCGGCCCCTCTTGATGGTCGACTCTCCGATGGTAAGATCTTCCCACAGCTTCTTGGCCTTTTCTGCGCCACCGGAGGCGTAACGGGGTGCGGATGGATCGTTGACTTCCGATGCCAAACGTCGCGGTGGCTTGATCTCGAGCTTCCGGAGCCCGTTGGTGAGGCTGGCGATTCCATCCTCCTCAGCGCTCGCGCCTTCTCGGGTGACTTTCTCGAATCCGGCTCCAAGCGGTACCGGTACCGCAGTAACCATGGAAAAAGTACAGGCCGCCAGGGCAATGACGAACGAGATCTGGAGCACCTTCATGTTGATGATGGTTCGGTTGGGTGGAATGAGCGACAAGAAGCCTGAACGAGCTAGGAACGAGGTTCGGCCGCAGAATATATACAGCACTGCCCCGGCGGCTCCCATCGATTGTCCGATCGAGTCGGCATGCATGGACGACAAAAGAACGAAAGCTGGGATCTGAAACACAATGAAGAAGCCGGCAGTGTCCGCCGGAGCGAAGTGGGTCTGCTGCGGTCCTCACCTCAAAAACTTCGCATGCTTGTGGGAAAAGACGTTCGGTTGCTAACCCACCCAACGGGGATGCGAGCACGAAGCAATTGCCTTTCCTGGGAAGATGGAAGCCCACCATGTACACATCCCACCAGATCAGACGATAGTCTTCGAAAGCAGCGGAACTCTTCTTCTCACTACGATTCCGTGACAGTCGGCACGGCTGATACCCTGCACCTGCAAGGAACGGCTTTGGATTGTGATTGAATAGCATCCCGTATGCTGGAAGAGATTTGTCACTGTGACGCAGGCTCAGGAGGAGAAGCCACCGCCCGATGTGTCCGTTGTTGCGCTTGACGTTTCCGTCTTTGCCGTGAGGTACGGAGGAGAGGGAGTCTTGTAATCCATGATAATGTAGACCCGCAGCTTAGGGGCTGGACTAGTGCGAATCTTCGGCAGAGTGGCCAGATCGAACTCGAGCTCGTCGACCTTGTTTGTGAATGTGGCCGGCGGAAATTGGTAAGCGAACTGGTGGGGGGCCGGGGGCAGCTGGAGCGGAGTGAGTCTTGATCTCAGTGCTTCGAGAGCGCCGTTGCCAGCCTCCTCTGCTACGCTCTCTGGCAGCATCGGTGCGGCTGCAGCTTGGGAGACGACCAGAAGGCGCGTTGCCCACACGACGACGATGACTCGGAAAAGGTGCTTCATTGTGGGTCGGTTGAAAGAACAAGAAGACAACGGTGGAAGGAAGGTGGGATGAAAGGTGGGTGCGTTGTCCTCTTCGTGTGCGCGCAGCTTCTTTTATGTGCTCACGCCGTCAAGGCGATGCAAGCCGCAATCGAAAGAGTCAAACCGGTAACCGCTGGGGGCATCACCGAGATAAAGTCTGACAAGAGACCGGTAAGATCTAGCTTTCTGGCTCATATCCCACTTACACACGATCTCATTGGACCAAGGACGATGGTGGCACCGTATTGACATCACATGCACACTCTCTGGAGATTGTTGTACCCACCTAATGTGCTCTTATGGCTTGGAAAAAGCAAATGAGGCCCCATACATCGTGCATCGCACGTCAAACCGCATGACATTGTGAGGGAAAGCTCCAGTCGGCGGGTAACTTCCGATGTCATGAACCCATCGCTTCGCTCGTGTGACGACGTGACGACCCGCAGCTGCAGCAATGCTGGATCATGTAGACGATGTCGAGCCATGTCGCCATCGCCGGGAAAAAAGCGCAATCTGTTAGACCTCAGTTGTGACGCGCTCGAGCACCCGAAAAAACAGCTGGTGATCCGCGCGACAGAAGAGCGGTGTTTCGGGAAGCACGGCAAGCTGCTTCGGCTCAGCTGTAGTGTGTCGGACGAGAAACGAGAATGCCAGGAACGCGGCCCGCTGGAAATGCCGGCAAGACGGGCTGTTGGCCGCGCTGGTTGACGTATGCACCCCACACTCGGCCTCGCCTTCCCCACACGACACCGAGTCGCCTTGCCCGGCAACGGCGCACCGGGCTGGTGGCTCATGTGGCCCGTATTGTGGAAGTATCACTCGGTACGAGGTGGCGTGCGGGTCACAATGGCTGGTTCAGGAACTTCGACCCGCTCTGCGTCCTTACGACTGGCAGATAAGCCGAGCCGTGCTCGATCTCATAACCGCGCTCCACCACAGCTTGCACAAACCTTGAGTTACTGCATTTGCGGCCGCAGCACCCTCGTTGGCTGTGCGGCAGTGAACGATCATCGGCGAGAGCTTCGTTTCACAGCCACGGCGGGGCGTGTCAGCTTGCTTCGCTTTCCCCAAAGTACAAATACGTGACCCAACATCCAGCACATTCGGTCAGCCCCTCGCTCCGATTCCCTGACTGAGCATCTCAGACCTGTTCCCACGAGCATTCGCACGTACAACAACAGCCAGGCCAGCCCCACAGTCCTTCATCAACATGTCGTCGGCTCTGAAAATCCGCTCAGATGAAAGCTCCATTGTGGGCACCGTCGCACGAATCATCTCGGCACCCTTGCACGGCTTGTCAATGCCGACGCAGCTCCTTCTGGCAACTGTTGCACTCTCAACAGCGTACATGGTGTACAATTTGCTGGTCTCCCCACTCGCACGCTATCCAGGACCTCTCTCTGCAAGACTCGGCATTCCTTTTTGGCGCTTCTGGCACACGCTGCAGGGCGACTACGCTCCCGCCCTCTATGCGCTCCACCAACAGCACGGCGATGTGGTGCGCATCGGCCCTACGCACCTTTCTTTCTCCGATCCTTCGGCGATGAACTCGATCTACAGCCTCTCGGACGGCGTTTCGAGCAAGTTCCGCAAGTCGGACTTGTACCGCTCCTTCCAGGTGTTCAAGTCGCACCCCTCGATCTTCAGTGAGCGCGATCCGCACCAGCACAGCAAGCGACGCCGCGCTGTCGCCAGCGCGTACAGCATGAACAGCCTCGTCAAGCTGGAAGAGTACGTCGAGGACGTGTCGGAGCTTCTGCTCAAACGCCTCGACGAGCTGGTCGAGACTCAGGCCGTCGCTGCCGACATGTCCGAGGGCGGACAGGATGCGGTCAAGACGCGACCGGTTCGCATCGACCCGTGGTTCCACTACTTCGCCATGGATGTGGTCGGCGAGCTGGCGTTTGGTCAATCGTTCAACCTGCTACACCGAGGAAAGGATGACGAGCGCTTCTTGACGGGCGTGCTCAACCTCTCACAGTGGGGCGCGGCTGCTGGCTGTCTCCCCTGGCTCTCGTCGTGGATTCTGTGGCTCTTTCCGCGCGTGACGGGTCAGCCGGGTGGGAGCGTGATTGGCGACAAGACTGCTTCGCGCATCGAAACGCGCTATGCAGAGGTCGAGGAGAACGGCGGCATGCCATCGAGACCCGACATGCTCACCAAGTTCATGGAGGCGCGCGACCCGGACACCAAGGAGAAGTACACCATGAAGCAGGTGCTTTTCTCGGCATCCTCTGTCATGTCGGCTGGATCCGACACCACCGCCACCTCGCTCACCATCTTCTTTGGCTACCTGCTCGACAACCCGCGATGCTATGAAAAGCTGCGTCGGGAGATTGACGAGGCTCTCGAAGCTGGTGCGCTCTCGACACCGGTCAAGTACGCCAAGGGTGCGCAGATGGAGTACCTGCAGGCCTGCATCAAGGAGGCTCTTCGACTTTCGCCGCCCATCTCGATGGATCTTCCGCGCTACGTGCCTTCCGGTGGTGCTGTCATCGGGCGCAATCCTCACCCAATTCCCGCAGGCACAACAGTAGGAATCAGCCCTTACGTTCTGCACCGCCACACGGAAGCGTTCGGTGCGGATGCCGAGATTTTCCGTCCCGAACGCTGGCTCGAAGGCGGCGAGGAGGGCAGAAAGGCGATGGAGCGCTTCAACATGACCTTTGGAGGCGGATCGCGAGCATGCATCGGCAAGAACATCAGCCTCATGGAGCTGTCCAAGGTCATTCCAGAGATCCTTTTGCGATACGACCTCAAGAAGCCTGCGATCAGCCCGCACACACAAGAAATCGAGTCCAAGTCGAAACAGCCCTCGTTCCAGGGAAGGAGCTGCTGGTTTTTGGAAGCACACGTAAGTCCATAGCCTTTCACCTGTACCGTCGCTCTCAGATCACTCAGCTAACATCTTCCTCTCTTCAACAGAACCTCTTTGTTGAGCTCGTACCGCGCAACGCAATCTGATGTTCGCACACTGGCAGAGAAGCTCTCAATACAGGCATACATGCTCTCATTTTACTTTGTTCCGGCACTTTGCAATTCCGACGATGTCGACACTCTTGTATTCGCGATGAGACAAACCTGACATTGTTTAGGGGCACAGGAAGCTTTGCCTGAAGTGCGATTATACGGTGGGCAGTGAAGACAGAAAGGTCTCGCTCAGAATTTGTGCGTCAGGACTCTGCCACTCTTGTCCAGAACGTAAGCAGTGTAAGACTCGCCGTTCTTAACGACGAGGCGTCCCTGGTTTTCGAGCTTCGTCCAAAGGTCTGGGATGCGCGCGTTCTGCGCGCCGACAACATCGGCAGTCTGGACGACCTCTTGGAACTTCGGGGTCTTGTAGCCCCTCAACCAGCCCCAGAAGCCACTGGGCCTCTTGCGCTTCGAGAACGACGGACCGAGGGTGAGCGCCTTCTCCACCGGGTCCATCGGGTACCTTCGGCTGTCTGCTCGCATCAGCAAAGCCCAAATGCCACCCTGAGCGTTAGCAGCTCTCACTTTTCCGCCCTTGGACACTGCCAGGAAAATCTTGTCTCCAGGAGCGCCGTCGGCCGAAGCTGGAACGTAAAATTTGCCAAAGTCCTGAAGCGCCTGCTTGGATCGCTGGATCGCGGTGGGGTCGCCAGTGGGGAAGAAGACGGGATAACCTTGGTAAAAGATTACATCCGCGTAATACGGTCCCCTCGCGGCACGAGGCAGTGGCTTCAGTGAGGGGTCCTCCTTGTACGTCTGAGTGTAGTACTCGATCTGACTCGGCGTCCAGTTAAAGCCACGCTTCGCCAAGTGGCGTCCGGCGCGGCTGAACACACTGACGAGAACCTCGCCTTCTTCGTTGAGCTTAAAGCCGATGGTCGAGCCGGTGTCGGGATTGTGCAGCTTGAGCATGCGATGCTGGGCGAGTAGGGCACGTGCTTGTCGGATGTCGAATTCGTTCGTGTTGAGGGTGATTGCATCTTGTCGCACCTCTTGCCAAGTGAGGTCGGCACCGCTTGGAGTGTGTCGCCGAGCCGGCGCGAAGGGGGCGCCGAAAGCGAGTTTCTTGGCGAGGTCGCCATGCGCCTCTCCGAAATGACGCGCTTGGTAGAGGCGGTCGAGCACCGCTTCTTTCTCCTCCGTGACCTTTTGGCCGTTGGCAAGCCGGCGGAAGGCTGGGATCGGCTCATCCCGGCTGCGGACCGGGTCGCCGACGATCCAGAACGAGCCGTGATCAACCAAGGCCTGTCGCGCCATGTCGACCTTGCCTTCGCGTGCCAGGAATACGGGAGTGCGGCCGTAGTGAAGGGTGTCGGCGTAGTAATCGTCGAGTAAGCCTGGGGGCGTGGGTTGAGGGCGCGGGTTCCGCGTGAAGAGGTACTCGTAGTAGTCGATCGTGTCACTCCAAGGGTTCCTGCCTGCACGCTTTTGCAGAGACTCTCGATGATCTGAGTGATGGCCAAGTGCCTCGGGACCATCATCGCCAGAGGCAATAGTTCCAGCGTCCGAGCTTGACGAGCTAGGAGAAACGGCGATAGAATGGGCAGTGAAACAGCCAATGGCCAAGGCCGCCCGCAACCAAGGCGTAAACAGCATGTTGAAGAGCGGGAACAAGGAAACGAATGTAGGCGGACTGGTGTTTTCAGTGGCTAGGAGGAGCGCCTTTCCAAACAGCGCTTCTATATATGCATGCCCTGTGTCGAGCCACGGCTCGCTTGCTCCGGGTTTGACAGGCAGCTTGGGCAAGATGAACAAGGCCAGGACCAACAAGATAACTTGGCCCGACCCACTTGTGGGTGAGAATTGGCGGGTTCCGGCAAGGAATCAACCCACCCACAAGAAACCCCTCCGGACAACAATGATTCAATCTTTTGGCCCCCTGCCCTTAATCACCCCACTGCATGTGCGCTCCGCCCTTCTCGTCACCCACTTCTTCGCAAAAATTTGGTGCAGAGCCACTCTCGCCCACGATGGTGGAACTATCACCCAATTCGATGCCTCTGTGTACGATAAGAGGCAAGCGGATCTGCTGGGAAGGGACGTCTGATGAAAGCGCAGAAAGCTACTGTATGCAAGGCTAGAGCCGCGGCTCGGATGCAATATGTGATGCAATCAAGCGGCAGTTATCCGCTGAGACGGTCAAGATGAGCAATGGGATTGCTCGAAGCAGGTCATGCGAACCTTATCGCGTTCACAAAACGTGTCTGAGGACGTTGCCGGCCTTATCGAGGGCATACGCGACGGAGCTCTCACGGTTCACGACAACGAGCCGACGTTTGTGATTGAGCAGTCTCCAGACCTGTCCAACGTCGGCCGTATTTCCATCTACGTGGTCCCACGTCGCGGCGTCCTTGATTTTCGGAGTCCTGTAGCCTAAGACCAAGTTCCTAAGGCTGCTTATCCTGTTGCGCGGGGCGAAACCCGGACCGAGTTCGATCATTTTAGCGACGCGATTGTCCTCGGAAACGACCGACATCTTGCGCGCAAAGTGTTGCAAGATGGCCTCCTTGGGCGCGACTGTGACGAGACCGGTCTTGTCGACTAGCAGAATCTCGGTGTTGGTCGGATGCTTTCGCGAGCTTGCCGAGACGAAGAACCTGCCGAAATCACGAAGCGCCCGTTGTTCTCGCTGCAAGGCTGTGGGGTCCGTGCTGGGAAAGAAGACCGGGATGCCCTTGTAGAACGACACGTCTGCGTAGTACGGGCCTCGACGCACAAAGGCAAGTGGCTTCAACTTCGGGTTGGGCTTGAAGTGCCGGACGTAGTAGGCGATATGGTCCGGGTGGGAGCGCTCTTTGCTTCGCTCCGTAAGCTGCGGCGGTTCTTCGATCGACAAGGCCCGCTTGTGTGCAAAGGGCAAGAAAGCCACGCCACGTTTCCCCAGAACGCCACCAAGCTCGAGGGCCTGCGACGGCTGTTCCGGCGTTTTGGCGAAGTAGTTTCCCCTGCCGGCGGTAATAGGAAAGGCGGCTGCGGACAAGACGATGCAGCCGATGGCGGCCAAGGCGGGTCGGAGGCAGCGATGAAAGAGCATGGTGCCGAAGGGAAGGGATGAAAGAAGGTGGCTTGCTTGCGGATGTCGTGTCTGATTGGAGCGGTATTTGAAGGGCAGGGGCCCGCTGCTTGCAACACTTCTTATCACCAGCGGTTCAGCGATTAAGAATGAATTCGACGAGGTCGACGGCAGCCCAAAAACTCTAAGCTTAGCTCGAGCGTATCTGCCATTGTGTGATAAGTAGGTTCACTGCCAAGCTCGTCTTTGTCACTCGAGGTCCGCCAGTCTTCTGGAGTGCGAAGCTCCATTTCATAACATGCAGTCGAGCGAGAACCATAATTTTGTACGACGATCGCCTTGATTCGTATGCAGGTGGTATCAATGATACAGCAGAAAGCGAAATAGGATGAAGGCGCCACCTAGGACGACTTTGTGGATCTCGTCTCGCGCTTCTTCTTGACCGTCTCGAAGCCGGGGAACTTGACGCGGAAATCTCTCTGATCGTTGGGATGGCCCACGGGCCATAACCAGTAATGAGGATACCTTGCCCTTCCGAGGTTCATCCAGAGCATGGCCCAGACGGTCATAATAACACTAGACAGCAGCACAACCGGCAGGTACCTCCAGCCGAGCTTGATCACGGGCGGACTTGTCGCAGCTAGCAGCGCTGTGGCGCCTCCGGGCGGGTGAACGGTATCGGTGAGGATCATGACGCAAAGTGCCGTACCTGTCGCAATACCTCCCGCGACCCATACCAGGCTGTGGGACGAGTCGATGAGGTTGGGGTTGTACTTGCTGTTGAGCTCAAAGAGCTTGGTGATGCAGACCGAGGTGAGGGCGCAGAGGAACTGGCCGCCGACGAACGCCTTTGGTTGACCGAGGGGCGATGCGGGCGTGCCGTAGAGGATGACGCTGGAAGCGCCAAAGGAGCCAATCACGATGGGTGCCGTCCAGGCGGTCACGGGGTCGTTGGTCGACATGGCGAACTGGTCCCAGCGCGAAAAGGTGATCATGACGAAGCCGAGACCGAGCATGGCGCCGATCCACGCCCAGAGTAATGTTTCTAACTTGCGTGGGAGCTTCTCGGCGGGTCGTATGAGCGCACGACCCTCGGTGGTCTTGCGGCGGTAGCCGAGGAAATGGGCGATAGGGTAGGGAATGCGGGAGAGGCGCGAGACAGGCTTTGCTGGCTTTTGCTGTGCCTCAACGTCGGCTGCCGGCTTGTTGTGATTGGCTCCTTGAGCAGATTGGGGAATCTTTTCTGGATCGACGGGCGCAGCGGCGACGGGGGCAGAGTTGGAGGTGACGGTGGTGTGTCCGGATCGCGAGGCGGTCTCCTCCTCTGCTGTTGAGGTGAGCTTGTGAGGCTTTGCCTCTGCCCTGGTCTTGTGCGGGTCCGAGCGACGTTGGTGCTGTGGCTCATCGTCGTCGGTGAAGACGTAGCCGTCATCCTCCTCAAGACTGCCCCTGACGGTCCTGGACTCGCTCCTCCAACGTTGTTGGCCATCAGCAGCGCCGTCGGTCTCGCCGTCGTTGTAGATTTGGTAGACGCGCTGTCGTGGCCGCCCGAGGAAGCTGGCCCTGGAAGAGGAGCGATTGCTGTGTCTGGGAAGCTGCTCGGCGGATGCACCGACAAAAGAGGCACGACCTCTGGAACGAGAACGATTGATGGCGTCTGGCGAAGTAGCGCCGGCCTGTGTGTCGCCCGAGGAGGACGAGCTGGCGTGGGTACGCATGGTCAAGATACAGCGCGCCGGTCGTGTCTACAGATGTATATCGTAGCTGATCGCTGGGTGGTAGTCGGAGGGTAAGAGGAGGTAGGAGGAGTCATCGCATCCACAACGACCCAAAGCAGGTCGGACATAGGCGGGTAACTCCGACCCTGTCAAGGCGGCGGTCGGAGCGGAGCAACGCGTTGTACACAAAATAGCTACGCACGACTACGCAATCCGCACGCCAGCCGAGCCTCCGAGCCGAGGAGCGGCACGAGATGCGGGGAAGCGCTTTTTTAGCATTGTTACATCGAAATTTGGCTCGAAATCGGCGATTTTCCCCGCGGGTTTGCGCAGTCATTCTGGGGTCCGCGGCCCGCTTGTGCGGGTCTCAACCCAATTGAAACGCCCTTACTCTCCACCATCACGACCAACAGTCGATGCACCATGCGGATTGACAGGGCGCCGTAGCATACACACTCAGGCAACGAAGAATGAGTGCGGAAGGGTCCTCCCTGTACGGCGGCGGCGGCGGTGGTCTGTCTGTGCCCACGAGCGATGCAGCTTCGCCGTGCAACGTTGGCGCATACGGCAGTGCGACTTCGCCATCGACTGCCTCGCTCTCGCCCTCTTCCGGCACCGTATCGGTAGGCAAGGGCACCTGTCGCAGCTCGCCTGGCAGTGTGGCTAACCTGCTTGCGCTGACGGAGCTGCGCAAGGCCGCGTGGGCGCGCATCTACACGAGCGGAATCTCGACTGGCGACGCAGCGATCTCAACCACGCGCATTCCATCGTGGAAGCAATTCGACGCACTCATGATCCGGCGCCACCGTCACATCGCCGTCGATCCTCGCGACAATCGTACACTGGGTTGGATTGCGTGCTTCCACCCATACCCGCAACATGCGTGTCTGTACGACGATGCCGACGCCCCCTCGCACCCCACGGTCGACGGGAGGGAAGGCCGCGTTGCCGAGATCCAAATCATGATTGCCGAGGCCGAACGTCGTCGTGGGGTGGGAGCGTTTCTGGTCAAGGCACTGCTGGCGCTGCTCGGGGCCGATACGAGGTACTCGACCGTGCAGGCGAGCTTCTTCCCCGAAAACAAGGCGTGCTTCAAACTGCTCGAGCGGTGCGGATTCGAAATGGCCGCCACAAGGCGCAACGTCGCAAAGATGCTCGATGGTCCGCGCGCAGGCGATTGGAGAGACCTCGTCACCATGGAACTCAAGCTACCTCCATTGCCCACCCTTCCCACCCCGGCAGCCCACCCCAACCGCACGCTTTCGCCCACGTTCGAATTAGACTCCACCATCGATCCAACTGCGATCCAAAAGCGTCCCCGCCTCGAATAGCTAATAGTCATGTAAGTGTATTAATACAACCTCGAACTCTGTACACGCTGGCTAGGAGTAAACGGGACGCGAGTGGCCATATCCCTCGAGGCCAAGTTCCTCCTCCTTGCCCGAGGGACCTCTGACGGCAAAGCCGTGTCTGTCTGCATCGTTCTTGTCCGTGCTATCTCGCTTTTCGCCTTCCTCGAGACCGAGCAGGTCTCTTCTGCGGTCCTCTTGGATGCCTCGGATCGACAAGCCGCGCAGGAAGGCACCGGTGGACAATCTGCGCTGCATGCCACTGCGCGGTGTAGCCGCGCCCGAATCGAGAGCGGCGTCGTGATCGTCGGCAAGGTGGAAGCTGTTGTGCTGCGGACCATCTTGGAGGTCGTGTGGGTGATGCCCGTTGGGACGATGTTGTGCTTTGGCCGCGTTGCTCGCATGTGCCGCCTCCAAGGCCGCCGCCGCGTCTTCCTCCTCAGGCTCTTCCGAGATGGACATGTGGCGTAGCTGCGCCGTTGGGCTCGCTGCGCGACGTGGTGTCTCTTCGCCATTAGCGCGCTCTGCCAGCTCAGACCCGGGCAGCTTCTTGGCTTGGTTCGCAACGTCGCCGGTCGAGATCTTGGCGTCCGCGTGTACAGAGTCGCCATTGGCCATGGTGAGCTCGCCTGTTTGTGGATCTGCAACAGGAGCGCCTTCCTTGGGGAACACCTTTTTGGGTTTGGAGAGCAGAGCCTGTTTGGCCGCTTGCATCTTTTGCGCATCGGACTGAGCGTCACCGGCAGCGTTGCTGACTGTGCCTTGAGCCTTGGCACCCGCAGGCTCGTTGGCAGCCGCACTGCCACTGCCACCGCCGCCGCCACCGCCTCCGCCACCGCGAAGAAGCTTCATGACCTTTGTGGCGCCCTTTTTGATCTCTTCGCCCACATCGACGACGTCGTCCTGGCGCGGATGGGCGTTGTGGGTATACCAGCTTTGCGAGCTGTGCACATGCGGAGGCACGTAGGACTGGCGTGGCGGTGCTGCGGTTCCCTGGGACTGGAGGAGGTGCGAACGTGCGGCGACGCCGATGGTGATCGAATTGGCACGTTTGAGCCTTCCCGACACGGGGAGCGGGGCGAACTTGATGGCGGCGTTGCTGGAGCTGGAAGTGGTGCTTGCCATGGACGACTGTCTTGCGCGACTGGGATGTGAGAGTTGCGGACGGCCTCGCTCGTTGGAGTCTGTGGTGGTGGATGCCCAGGTGGAGCTGGCTTCCGAGGTGTAGGAACGCGAAAGGTCGCTGAACTCGCCGACTTCGCTGGGTGTGCCGAGGCTGCTCTCGTGGTCACTGCCGTAGCCGGACTCGCTCGCGCTGTCGCGTCTGTCGAGCGGAGGTGGCTTGAGGCAGCCTGCGGGAAGGATGCCATCGCCTGCGGAGGCCTGTTTGCCTCTCGGATCGTACTCGAGTACCTGGCCGCCTTCAAAGTCGCTTGGGCGCGGCTCTGTGCGCTTGAAGGTCTTGCCGAGACGCTTGCCGTCTTTGAGCTTGATTTGACGGCCTGGAGTGGGTGGCGGGAGGAAGGTGGCTTTGAGGGCGGCTCTGAAGCCGGACTCGCTGCCGGAGCGCGAAGCCCTGCGGGTGGGGACGACGTCGTTGGCGTTTTCGAGGATGCCCTTGAGCTTGGGCTGCGAGGAGGAGTCCGAGTGGATGGCGTTGGACTTGGACGAGTCGGAGACGACTTCGTCGGGCGAGGAGACGTCTTCGGACGAAACTGTCGATACCAAGACGGGCGCTTGCTTTGTGGGCGAGTCGGAGGCAACGGCAGCACCACCAGCCATGCCATTGGCCTGGGCTGCGGTCGACATGGTGAAGACGCTCGATGCTGTATTCGGTGTATTCGTGTCGATTGTGGTGTCGTTTGGATCGATCAGATGGGCGGCATGGTGTTGAATGTCGATGCTAGAGTGCGCTTTGCAGTCGGAGGTGGCCAGTGTAGGATGGCCGAGATGAATGCCGCGGATAACTCGGGCCGCCGAAGCTGTGCTCCTTCCCACTGTCTGCTGCACACTGCACTGGCTGGGCTGTGGTTTGGACGCCATGATGTCAATCGGCTATTCCAAGGCACCCCAGGGCAGCAAAACTACTGTGGCCGCGCGCGGGGAAAATGGGCAGCAGCTCAAAATTGTGGAACAGCCCGTCATCCGAAATCGCCGCCTTGGAGCAAAGCGCACTGACGCACGCACCAATCGATCGCAGCTCATTTGGCCGAACCGAGCCCTGTAACCCTGCCGGCGAGACGCGCTCGGCTGCCGCGCTCCCCCACACTGTGTGGACCCTCTCGACCGTCTCTGTCGGCCCCCAACAATCGGCCAAGTGCAGCTCTGCAGAAGCGGCATCCTGCCGACGCTTCGTTTTCAGTATGGCAATTTCAATTCGAGGCGCTAGAGCCATGCCGAACCGGGCTCGGACGCAACCCGCTCAAGCAGGCTCAAGCGTGGCATCGAGATCGAGGCCAGATTGCAAGTCAACTCTGACAGGACGTGGCGCAGAGTCGAGATGCGAATCGGGACGGGCGCCGCCATCTGCGTCATGCTTTTGTCGCTAAAAACCTACCGGCACGACCTCGGCTTCTATATTTGCTTCAAGCCGCTGAATGTTCTGGGCTCCGATCTGACATTTACAAAATATTGCGCGAATATGAAATTGCACCCTGCACCGGGGTTGCTGCCCGGTCCCCCACGTGTAGCAGCCACCGCCAGGCAGCGGATTCTTGGCAGGTTTCTGCACAGAGCACGCCATGCCTCCTTCTCGGCAACCACCGGCCGGTCAAGCCAGGATGATGCCTCGGCTGGCGCCTCTATCCTTCTCACCATCATCCGCTCGACCCGACGTGTAGCGTGCATCACCGCCATGTCGTCCACACAGGTCATCACAAGGTCGCGCTCCCGCGTTTCGGACAGTGCACCCTCACCAGGTCCTTCGGCGCTCAACACCCCGACTGCACCTACCGCATCCGCTTCAGGCGCAGCGTCGCTCGACGACGCCGACTACGACGACCGTCGCAACCTCAAGCTCAGCGTACGCCTCGTCGATACCATCCGTCACTACTGGGATCTCGGCTTCACCGCGTTCGGCGGTCCGGGCGTGCATGTGGTCATCCTGCGCAAACGCTTCGTCGACAAGCTCGCCTGGCTCGACGAGACCACCTTTGCCGATCTCTTCTCGCTCGGAAACGCCCTGCCCGGACCGGGATCCACGCAGCTGGCGTTTTCGATTGCTGTCGCCCGCAATGGCACGCTTGCCGGTCTCATCGCCTTCCTCTTCTGGTCGCTGCCAGGCGCTGCGGGCATGGCCGCGCTTGGCGCGGGCGTGCGCAAGTTTCCGGAACGCCTTCCGCCTATCGTCCTCGGTCTGCTCACGGGCTTGAACGCCGCTGCTGTCGGACTGATCGCGCTGGCGGCGTTCCAGCTCTCCAAGTCCTCCATCACCGACCCCGTCTCCAGGCTGCTCGTGCTTGGTTCCGCCTCGTTCGGCATCTGCTACCATGCTCCCTGGATGTACCCCATCCTCGTCTTTGGTGGCGGACTCATCACGCTGCTTTACGACTTTCGACACACAATCGTCAAGGCAACGATTGGAAAAGTCATCAGACGGTCATCGCGGTCCGCCTCGAACGGCGCTGTTGCTCATGATCCCGCGCAGTCCGGCCATTCCGACGACATCGAACTCGAACCGGTGCGTTCGCAGGCGCGCACCTCGCTCGAAGCTGACGCCGACAAGCATCAGTCTGGCGCTGATGTGCAAGAGCTTGCGTTCCAGAACGGCACCACCGCTGCGCCAGCGAGCTCGATCAGGCAGAGAAACGCAAGCACCGTCGAGCGCACCCACTCGTCCAGCGCCAACCGGAGCGCGTCGGCGTCCGATGCACCGCTGACAGATCGCCGCACGCCCATCATGGTGCTCAACCGCACCATCGCTCTCGCGCTTGGTGCTGCTTTTATCGTCTTGATCGTCGCCGTCGTCGTCACACGCTCGCAGCTTAGCTCGCCACCACGCGCGCTCGACTTTTTCACAAACATGATGATCGCGGGAGTCATCATCTTTGGCGGCGGGCCCGTCGTCATCCCTCTCCTGCGTGGATACACTGTCGAGAATGGTATGTCCGCATCGCATCGATCTCGTGCCACTCTCATTGCCCGCTAATCGCTCAATTTTTTTCTGCATTTCTTGCACCTTGCTAGGCTGGGTCGATTCGAGGGACTTTCTGCTTGGCTTTGCCATCCTGCAGGCGTTCCCTGGGCCCAACTTCAACTTTGCCGCCTACCTGGGCGTGTTGTCGCTGCCGTCGAATCCTGCGCTCGGTGCGATTCTGGGCTGGCTCGGCATCTTTTCGCCCGGTCTGCTGCTCAAGTTATCGCTGCTGCCGCTGTACAACACGTGGCGCAAGCACGAGGTGGCCAAGTCGGTGCTGCGCGGCCTCAACGCCTCGGCCACCGGTCTTGTCTACACGGCCGTCTGGCAGCTCTTCCTGGGTAAGCAGGCCCCAACATCTCTCGTTCGTATAAGAATCGTGCTGACCAAGTGGTTTGTGTTTTGCGCAGTGGGATACATCTATACGCCCGCAAGGGGGCCGGTGGTGGAGGCGGCGAGCCAGAGCGGACCGCTTACCTCGGATCCGTTCTGGGGCGTCGTCGCTAGCTCGGCGTTCGTCGCGACACAGTGGTTCAAGAGTCCGCCCGCGGTCACCATCGTCGCAGGCGCAGTCGCTGGACTGGCTTGGTACGGTGTTGTGGGTCCGCTCGGCACCGAGCGTCAGCAGGCGTTCTTCTGATCATGAATACCAACGTAGCGGGATTTTTTGGTGGAGCAGGCGTGTGCCGAAAAAAGTAACTACTTTCAACCTCCACTTGTCAGCGCGGCGGAATTGGAAGCCGGCTCGATTCATGCATGCTCTTGCCGCTGCTCAGAGGGGAAGAGGCCGTGAGCGAGATAGTGGTGCCTCGCTGCTCTGTGTGCAAACACCATCACGCCAACAACCGAGGTAGTCTACCTGTTTGCTCGAAGTCAACATGAGTGCATCGGCATTGGCAACGCCCGTTCCGCCCCCGCTGCCCGTCACGCGGTCCGCACAACCGCCGCCGACGCATGTCGAGTTCCTGCTCTCGCAAGTGCGCGCCAACCTGCGCTACCTCTCCGAGATCGGGGCATTTGACACTGGCGCCTACCGGCAAATCCACGATCTCCTCACTCGCGGCACTCTTGATCCCCACGCCGTTTCCCCCAGTACGCATCCTCCGCCACCACGACCAACTGAGCGCAGCGAATCAGCCGACGAGCTGGGCAGCAAGAGCGCCTGGCTGCGCAAGGTGCTCGCCGAATCATCAGTCCTCCCCACCACCATCGAGACGGCTCTGTCGCTCACGGCGGGGCCTCTGCTGTCCGACGAGCAGAAGGAGGCAATTGTGCAGCTCGTCGAGTACTCGCAGCAAGGCGTGGCCAACAAGATCACCGACCCCACGCTGCAGAAGCGCATGGGGTCGGGCGCTAGGGCTGCACAAAGCTCAACGGCGCGCAAGGTTTCAAGCTGGAGTAGGGGGTTGAAGCAGGACAGACAGAAGAAAAAGTCGCAGAGTGAGGAGAAGAAGGATGGGAAGCGAAGGGAGAAGGAGGAGCGAAGGCAGATCAAGGCGGAGCTGAAGCAGGAGCGGAACGAGGTGATTCGCATGCGCCAGCAGCAGATGCTCGGCGACAATGCAAGTCAAGCGTCGGGGACCATTGCCAGTCCGGTGTTCACAAGTAGAGCACCGGCGGGGATAGAGGACGACAGCAGCAGCCAATCGAGCTCCGAGGACGAAGCACACCTCGCCAACCGCGGTCCGATCAACAGCTGTGACTTTGCGACGGGAGCAAGTGCGATTGCAGACACTGCCACGCTCACGGTGCTCTCCCAGCCCATCAAGGGCAGCGAGACTAGCGTGGGAGGTACCAACACCACGTTTGTCGTAGAGCCGGGGCTGGCTGTATCGTGCTCGCTCGTCGTGATCAAAGGAAGCCAAGTGCAGGATCAGCTCGAGCGGGTGCGTGAGGCAGCTGCTGCACCCCAAGTACCAGTCCCGGCCGGAACGGCTTCACACGCGACGATGCCACCGCCGAGCCATCCTGACGTGCTAGCGGTGAGGAGGCATAGTGGGACTACATCGCAGCCGCCGGTGCCGCCTCGACCCAGCACGCAGAGGACCAGTTGAGCGATGCCCTGTCATGCAGAGATAGGCCAAATGCATAAACAAATCCCTTTTCCATGTGAGCCTTTTTCGAAGCGCGGTTTTGAGGTGTTGGACCGCACGGACGGGAATTTGAAGAAGCGGTGTTGGTGGTGCGGCATCTTCTTTTCTTGCTACCACCTTGTCCGCACAGCCGCGTCTCGACTGCACGTACACCATGTCGGCATCCGTTACGCTGCGCAAGCGGCGCTCGGTTGCATCGCGACCCATCACCAACCGGCCGCAAACCATCACAGGCCAACAGAACAAAGCGCTGGATGCCGAGCAGGAACGCGAGCGCCAGGCCAAGCAGCTCGACGCGCGTCGTCGCCGTGCCCGCAGGCGACTCGACGAACTGGAGCGCATCAACTACCGCGACGCCCCCACCGCCTCCTCCTCCGCCTCTGGTGTATCGACTCCACTCGAGTCAAACGAAGCGTCTGGTGTCGACACCGAGTCAGCTGGCTCGGCAAGTGCAGGCGTGAGTGTGGCACAGCGACGCAGGAACCAGGCCGAAATCAAGCGCATCCTCGTCGGCGGGCGGAGGAATCTGCATGCGCTTGTCGAAGAGCTCGTGGATCAGGGAAGGCTGCCGCTGGTGCCGGGTAAGGACGCGGCGAATTGGAGGAGTGTCAGGTCGGCACCGCCCACTCGACCAGCGCGCAGGTATTGCAGCATCTGCGGCTTCCACGGCGATATAGCCTGCACGAGGTGCGCTCAGAGAGTCTGCTCGAGAAAATGCAGAGACACGTAAGTCCCCGTCTGAGCGGTGTCAATGACTGGTATGCTGACACTTGGACTGCCTCAACAGCCACGACGAAACACGCTGCGACCGCCCGCTTCGCTAAAGCCCCCAACTTGCCAGATATACCCAGCTTTCAACTATACCACCGCGCTTTTTCATCATGTCCATCAGCGTGACCGTTATGCATCTCTATGTGGATCTATATTACAGTTCTAGAAGTTCAGAGGCCGGCAATGACGTTTTTGGAGCCGGTGGAGTGATTAGGCTCCATATCCGCACCGGGCGTTTCGATTCCGCCGCGGAAGGTGGTCCCCACCCCGGCCACGCGGGTCTCTGGTCCAAGCTCGGCAAATCCCACCTCGGGATGCTCGGCATCGACGTACATATCCAGCTGGACCGTCTCCCAGCCCAGCCGCTTTGCCTCTGCGGGCGTGGGTGGGGTGTAGGTCGCATAGGTCGCAAGGCGCGGATGCACGAGCGGGGCGTCTTTGAGCACGCGCGTGAGCAGCCATCCCATCCTCAGCGTCCCGTGCGCAGCAGCATCGGTGCTGGGCTCAGAGGCAGGCGGGGCGTTGGCAGCAAACCCGGTATCCGACGGGTTCAGCAGTGCATCCTCCGCTCCACGCTTGTCGGACTGCAGATCGCGCTCGAGCGAGGCCACGCGCGCGGGGGAATCTGTACCTTCCGCCTGCGCTGCTGGGGTGGAGCTGCCCGATGCAGGCTCCGAATCGGTCCATCGACTTGCGCGGCCGTCTTCGCCCGGGAGCGTGTACACCGGCAGCGCCTCTTTAGGCATCAACTCGATCTCCACCGGCAGCGTCTGCACCTTGTCCGATGCCCATCGACTGCGCGCTTGCACGCGCTCCTTTTCGTCGCGCGAGGTATGCTCGAATAGCGCAGCGATGAATTCGGACGTGGGGCGGTACAGCCACCTCCTCGGCCGAATCCCCTCGAACCACCCCAGATGCCCACCGCCCTTAGTCCAGGCCAGAACCACGTTCTCGTTGCAGCCCTGTGCCGAGGCGGGATCCATGGGAGTGCCATCGGCGTTGCGTCCAATGGCAGCACGGATCTTGTGCCAAATCTTTCCGGGTACAATGGGATCGTCCTGGGCGGATAGACACAGCAGCGGGCGCTGGACGTCGCCGATATTGTTGGCGCATCCGCCGTAGTGGTAGTAGTCGTCGGCGCTGTCAAAGGGGAACTCGCCGTACGGTTTGGGCAGGCCGCCGACAAAGCGCGTCATGGTCTGGTCGGCCGCCTTGAGCGAGCCGCGCTTGATGATCGCGCGTTCGCCGTCGCGGGGCCCGCCGTTCTTGGCCTGCTGCTTGTACACCTCCAGCTCGGCCTTGGGCTGCGGGGGTGCGTCGTACAGATCATCCAGCAGCGCGCGGAAGGGTGGATGCAGGGCCAAGGTGTCCTTGTGCTTGCGTGCCATGCGCTGCAGATTATGCCCCATGGCCATCGAGTACTTTTGCGACAAAAAGCCGCCATAGTCGAGCTCGTCTGCGCCCGCCTTGAGGTCGAACGGCGTACCTACGATGATGCCTCCGAGTAGCGGCGTGTTGTCGCCTTCCTCGCCGAAGTAGCGGCCGAGCACGTTGGCGCCGAGCGAGAAGCCGATGCCTACGAGCGGCGAGTTCGGGTACAGCTTGGTGATGAGCAGCAGTGCCGAGCGCACGTCGGCGATCTTGAGCGCCGAGTAGAGCTGCGGCGATGTGACGGGCACATTGGCGCAGCCGCGGAAGTTGACCACGATGCCGCGGTAGCCCAGCCCACCTTGGGACTTGGGCTTGGTGAGGTGCGAAAAGACGTTGCGCACGTAGCTCTCGTGGCTGCCGCCCGTAAGGCCGTGCAGACACACTACGGTGGGAAGTCCATCCGCTGCCGGGTGGTTCTGTGCGCGCAGCTGCTCCTCGCTATCAGCCAACGCGGGAGGCGAGATGTCGAGACCGACAGTACCGCCGTCCGGAACGACAAACACGCGTCGCTTGTACTCGACTGCATCGATCTGGCTAAAGTTGCCCACGGCCGAATAGATGGTCTGCAGATGGCCCGTCGACAGCCACGGCGTAGGCTTGTACGTTGGGCTCTTGGCTGGGTTGAGCGTCTCCGTGGCTGCGAGCAGCGTCTTGATGGACGGCGACCGTCTGGCACGCTCGTCCGGCTGCGGCTGCTTGCAGTACTCGACGTTGACCGCGAAGAGCGAGTGCGGAGCGACGGGCGAAAGGATGGTCCTGCCCAGCAGCGTAGCAGTGGAATGTAAGAAACCCGACATGGCTGTTTGTCGTCCAGTGGCTCCTGCGTGTCGATATCTACGCCCGATGGATGTGGTGGGACGGAGAGGAGGTGCGTGTCGAGCGGTGAGAAAGGGCTGTGCAAGTCATACCCACCAAAAAAGCTGACTGCATACACCAAACGAAAAAGTTTCCGAAGTGGAGGCGGCATTCGGCTTTATGCAGCCAACCTGGCCGCCGTCTACTATGCGGAATGGCAGAGGTGCGGAACGCTCTCCGGGCCGGTAAATTTGTTGTGGCTCCGCTTCGAGGGTGCGAAACCGGCGCGTATCGCTGCTGCACGCCAAGTTTGTCCCTCCAAATCGAGCTGCCCGACTTCCGCGTGCCGATTTCACAGAGGCGGAGGTATTTCGCCTACAATCAGGCGGCTGGGCGCAGTCTCGGAACTCGGAGGAGAGACCGGGTTCAGGGTCCAAAAGCGCTTGCGCAGCCTTCTTTCTTGCCCTCCCCACCGCCGCACGCACACACACATACACACACAATATGTCTACCGATCTGAACGTCGATATCCACAACGTCCCGTCCGAAGCCGACATGGACGTGAGCTCGGCGCTCTCTCAGCCGCTTCCCACCACACCGGCGGTGGCACGCACGGAGGCCATGTCGCTTCTGGCGCTGCAAAAACAGCTCGACGGCTCGATGCAGCGTCACCTCGACGTGCTCGCTGCCAACGGTGTCACCATGCAAACCCCCCTTATCGATGCCCAAGGTTTCCCGCTAGCAAATAAGGACCTTATGGCGATTCGAACGGCACGCCAACGCATCAATGTGCTTCGCAACGACTCGCACGCCCTCCGAGACCGTGTAGCAAAGCTGCTCGAACTAGCCATCAATGGAGACAGTCTCGAGTCATCATCAACCAGCACTGCACAGAAGAAAGTGGATCTGGATGCGTTCGCTCGAGTCAATAGCGTGGCCGATAGCAGTCCGGCACAGGCTGCAGGGCTGCGCGAGGGAGACCGGGTGGTCAAATTCGGAAGCGTCACTGCACAACATCCACAGGGACTCGCAGCACTCGCCGCGCAAGGTGTCGTGGTCGACGGCACACCCATTCAGCTGCTGGTGAGCAGAGGATATAGCAGTGCGCCGGTAGAGATCACGCTGGTGCCAAGAGCAGGCTGGGGCGGAAGAGGGTTGCTCGGCTGTCACCTCGTCCCCATCTAGGCCCAACCCATGCACAAGGACCAATCCAAACCCGTTCTTTTCCTCGAACTCGTCATGATCATCCCACAGCGGCCTCATCATTCTGCAAAGGCGTCTACATGCTTTGGTTGCATTTCCTGAGGTCTCTTTTGGGTCAGCGGTCGGAAGTGCCGCCGTAGGAAGAACGGTGCGCGCCAAGGGTCGCGCGGCCCTGTTCGAGCAAGCTCTGCTGTTCGTCGGGATCGGCCTCGTGGTCGCTGCGCGAAACTGTGCTCGTGGGCCTTGCGGCACGGCTTGTGCTTCTACCTCTTCTGCGTCTTCGCGATGAGTGCAGCGGTGCGCCGTGGTCGAGCGTGTATAAGCGTGGCTCGAGCACGAGTTGTCCCGATTCGTCTCGGCGCAGCTGATGGTGCGGACCCAGCTTGTGGCCGCTCGACACACGCCACGAGGCACGGTCGTCCCAGGATCCGTCCACGTGGTAGGCGCCGTGCAGTTCGGCATCGTCGCGATAGCTCGATCGACGTCTGTTCTCGGGGCGGTGAACGCTCGAGTGCCGGTACGACTCGGAATGCTCGCTGTCGTCCACGCGCGAGCTGCGGCGCGAATCGGTCCCACTCAGCGAGTAGCGCGAGTCGCGCTGGTCGCCCTCTTCGTGGTCCGACTCGTCCTCGTGACGACTGCGACCGGGACGCAAGTATTCGCGTGGCTGCGCATGTGTATGCTCGTGCTCTGCCCCCACCGACCCCTCGGATTCGTCCTGCGCACCGTCGTCCTCCTTGTCCTCTTCATCACCCGTGTCCGACTCGCCGTCGAGCTTGATCGACTTGACGTCGAGGTACTGGAACGCGATCTTGACGAGCGGGATGGCGAGCGAGTGGCCGATGATCGACGACAAGATAAGCGCGTATGTGATGGGCTTGGCCAGCACGCGAATGCGCATCGCCACAGGCGACGGATCATCGGGCTTGAACTCGTCCAGGATCACGCCGAGGTAAAAGAGCGCGCCGGCACCGATGGGCGCAAAGTAGCCCACGAAGCACGCCTCTGCCACGTCGTGTAGCGTGGGCACGTAGCGGTAGAAGGCGATCATGGCAGGCAGTCTACGCAGCAGCAGCACGAGCACGCACATGAAGACAAGCTTGGCAGGCGTGATGCCGTTGTCCGGGTCGTCGAACGCGTCCCACGGGATCGTGGCGCCGAGGAAGCTGAAAAAGACGAGGTTGAGCAGCAGATCCAGGCAGTTGTCCACCTCGGACTCTTCGCACTGCTCGCGGTAGAAGTCGGTCCAGGAAAGCGCATTGCCGGCGACGAAAGCAGCAAGCAGGTCGTCGATCTGCAGCACGCCACCAGAGCCGATGATAAACACGCCCATGGCCGCACCAAACAGCAGGAAGCTCTCCTTGTCGATCAGGTTGCGGTCGGTGGAGAACTCGATGAGCCGGCGACACACGTAGCCGACGAGGATGCCGTAGACGATGGCGCCGCCAACGGTGTAGACGCACGTCTCAAACAGCCAGCGGGTGAGCGCCTGCGAGGTGGAGTCGAGCTTGATGAGATGCACGGCGAGGAAGAGGAAGGGGTAACCGAAGCCGTCGTTGGCGCCGCTCTCTGCCGAGATGAGGTTGCGCAGCCGGGGCGATACGTACTGGTCTGCGAAAGCGCCCTTGACGATGGCGTTGGACAGCACGGGATCGGTGGGTGTGGCCGAGGTGGCGATGACGAGCCCGGCGAGCAGCGGAAGCGAAGGGATGACGAGCCAGATGCAGAAGGTGGTGGCGAGCCACATGACGGTCATGATGGGGATGAGGAGCACCACGAGACTGCGCAGCTCGATCCACGGATACTTGTACGGCAGCTGGACGCCCACCAGCGTGAGCTGGATGCCGATCACCACGCGGCACAGGCCGAGCGAGATCTCGTCGACATCCACCTCCTTGGACGCCCAGTTGAAGATGCCACCCAGGCCATAGGGTCCCAGACAGATGCCGATGAGCACGGCGAGCGGCGCCTCTCCGAGGTAGAGCCTCTCCTTGATGAGGTAGGAGAAGGTGCCGTAGGCCACAAAGAAGAGGCCGAACGAGGTGCACAGGAGGTTGAGCGTGGTCACCTCGAAATTGATCGCCATCTTGACGGCGGCTTCCCAGCGAGAGAGGTGGGAGTGACGAGCGATGCTGGCGAGGTCATTCGCTGGCGTCGTTCCAGTTTGAAGGCTACGTGGAGAAGAGAACAATGTCGTGGGTCGATGATGCGCACAGAGAAAAGCGCCGAGTGGCACTGCCAGGACGACCTGTGCGTACAGGCGTGTGTGGAGCTGCAGCTGAGTGTGCACATCAGCAGGGGCTTGCATACTGCAGCCGGGGTCCAAGCACGACCACTCAGCACACATGTCAGCGTCACTCCACCCAAAAGAAAAAAAAAAA